CTTTTTTCGATTGCGACAATCGAAACGGCGGTCTTTTCGAAAGCTGAAGTGACAGTACAATGTGGGGTTCACGACCATGAGTTTCTTTTTTTTTTCTTTAGCTTATTCTCCTGCATCTCTCGCTGATGACGAAGTTATTATTATTATTAATTATTTTCGTACACGTGAACGGATGCGCAAAGCCAACACTTCCAGTATGATTTTTTTCCCGTTTCCTAAAAAAAGAGCAAAAATTTTGAATAAAAAAAAATTAATCGGAAAATACATTTTGAATTCTTTGGATATTCCTGAAGATGGAAAAGCGGGTGTTATTTTTGCAAAACATGCAAATAATTCTCCATTATTTGCAATTGCTGTGGATTTAGATGAAACCACAAAAGTATATATATAGTCCTTGAGCCCCAGAAGGCCCCCCCCCATATAGTCGCCTGGAATCGTAAAACACGTTACAAACTCATTTTCATAGCTCATGATGAAAAACGTAATTACGTCGTCCTGCTCAACGTTGTCCCTAGTTGCTCCTACTTGATCCTGTTGNTAACGCTCGGTGCAATCCTGCGAATGGCGCTTGTGACTGTGCTCCAGGTAAATTTATTCATTTCTTTCTGGTATTTTTAAATGTATTTAAGATCTTTCCACGCCAAGTGGTACTGCGATTTTAGCCGAAAATTATCCCGAATCAGAAAATATTACTTTCGCTGCAGAAGTTCATCTCTTTTCCCATAATGCATGAATTGCAGAGAATATTACATTGAAAAATGTAGGATTTTGTCATGATTATTATACATAATTCATACCACTCTCACGATACTCAAAAATGCGATGTAAATGGAAATCCAGAGAGACTGAATTGGACAACTGGAACAGATGCCAACATGGGTTCTCCGTGCATGCTCGTTGTTCCAAATCGGCTCAGATGTGAAGAGTTGATGTCAGTGGTTCACATTTGAGTCGCGTCTTAAGAATAAAGTTAGCAGACATGTGCAGACGTCTCGTTTTCAAATACTCTCTCTGATCGCGAGACACCCGACGCCGTCACCAAATTGGCTTACTTTCTGTTTCAAGCGTTGTAATGTCGGGGTGACTCACACCAATTCCAGGCTTTCATTAATTCTAAAAAATGAACAGGAAACTAAATCATCAGGGTCCGCTCTACGACAGATATGTGAACGTTAGAGCGAGCGACTTCAACTCGAAATGTCACGTCTGACAGTTTTCTTTGCACGTGGGCACACCTCTAAGGAAGGAGAGAGCGCAAAATCCTTTTTATTGCGGAATTTTCAGTCAATACCCGAACCAAACAGTTCCAGTCCTTATATGCTGATTTGTCGTCCATAATATGGTTGAATGGATTTTTTATGGTGAACAGATCACTCCGGATGTCACGTCCGACACCGTGGGAAAAATATATGGATGAAATGTATGGGTAAAATTGTCATACTTCGTTTGACCCCAATGCAGGCTATAAAGGCCGACTGTGCGAGGAGCCTTGCCCGAGTGGAAGGTTCGGAAAGGATTGCGCTGACATTTGCGACTGTCCAGGACATTTCCTCTGCTCACATGTCGATGGAAAGTGCAGCTGCAAAGCAGGTATGGAGGATCCCAGCTTTCCGATTTTTTTTTTTTTGTTTTTCCCCGATGGGATTCACGGAGAGGAAACACTGAGGTCCGAAAGTGTCGAGCTCTCCAGATGAAGATATCGAGTAAAAATGCACCCTTCTTCTTCCTGGGAATATTTTCTCTTATTGCAGATCATCGTGATTAGCCGAAACAAAAACGGCGGTGACGTAATTAATTTCTTCATCATTTTTGCATGCCGATATGTTTTTCCGTCTTAAAATCTTGGAATACTTTGGATACGTTTTTTCCCGACGTGCACAAAGCACTGAATTTCGAAGACGCGTCTTCGCAGGCTGGCACGGGAGCGAATGCGACACGGAATGCCCGGCTGGGAAATTCGGCGAAGACTGTAGGCAAGAGTGCGCGTGCGACAACGGCGCTCCATGCGACTCCGTCACGGGCACCTGCATCTGCCCACTGGGTTTCAAGGTGGGTCTTACGTTTTATATATATGTATATTGCAATATATTGGGTTGGAAAGAAAGTCTTGCAACACTCTGCGCAAATTTTTCAAAATGTTATAACTTTATTGAAATGCAATTTCAGTCTACAATGTCATGACCATTGTTGTCTATGACATGTTCCCAACGCACGGGTAACTGCTCGATGCCCTTTGCCCAGAACTCTGGCAATTGCGAAGCGAAGAAACGGCCGACATCGTTTTCGAGCTGTGCTCGATCGTCGAAGACCTCGTCCCGCAGGTGATTCTTGAGGGCCCGGAACAAGTGATAGTCGGAAGGGGCCATGTCCGGAGAATACGCTGGATTAGGTAAAACTTCCCAGCCCGGTTCCGAAATCGTCTGGCGAGTCATCTTCGCAACACGTGGTCGAGCGTTGTCATGCAGAAGGAGAACTTTGTCGCGTTTGGGACGCTCTTTTTGAATGACGCCAGCCAACTTCTGAAGTCAAGCGGCGTAGACGACGGCAGTCACGGTGGTACCGTTTGGCAGGAGCTTATAGTACAACATTCCTTCTGAATCCCACCGACGGCAGAGAAGAACCTTCTTCTCGTGGAACCCTGGTTTCGGTTCGTGTGGCGGCAATTCTCCTCGTGGAAGCCACTGACTCTTGCGGGTATGGTCGACGTCGAGGACCCAGCTCTCATCTCCAGTAACGATTTCCTAGATGGACGTCCTGAGCGTGGTCGATCTCCGAAGGTCGTGTCGCCAGATTTCAAGCGTTTCAACCATCGAGACATCGTGGAATAGGGGACGACGTTCCCCTTGAATGCAGCGCAGATGTTGTCCGCGGCGGCTCTCGCAGAGTGTCCTTGGAGGAACTCGTAGTAGACGATGGGGCGAAGAGTTGCTCGTTCGATCGGAGCCTTGGCTCCCAACTAATGGCAGAAGCCGCCTTATCTACCCCGAGTGCAGAAGTTTCGAGAACATTCCAGCATATACGAATGCAAATCTCATGCTCATCATTCCATTGAAAATTTTTATAAATAGTTTTAGAAAGTCTTGCAAGACTTTCTTTCCAACCCAATGTTATTTGAATGTCTTGCGCACTTGCGGTCTCTTCCACCAGGGCCAGCAATGCGAGGAAAAGTGCGAGCACTGGAGCTACGGTCACTATTGCACCAAAACGTGCGATTGCGTGCAAGAATTAACCGAAAACTGCGATCCAGCCACTGGGTGGTGCATCTGCAAACGCAAACACTACGGTGAGTCGCGCTTGCTTTTATTTGAATGAATAAAAAATACTTTTCGTCGGACGGACGGCTGTCCATTCGATGCACCGTCGCCACCGACTATCGAATCCTTGCTGAGGACCAAAAATCCAACCTGTTCTAATAATAGGGACGAGTATCCAATAGTCCAATGGGAATCTGTGGCATTTGGTATCTATTTCTTTCGATCTGGAGCATGGCAGTGCGCATGCTCCAGACCATAGGGAATAGGTGCCAAATGGCAGGTATTCCCTTTGGTCGATTTTCGAATGTTGGGGATTACTCTCTTGCTTTCTTCATCGGTTCGACCATTCCAGAATGATGGATCCATTATATAGGCAGAGTACTTCCTATTCCATCTGTTGGAATTCAGACAAACACAGGTACTTCGTGATGGGTACTTCGTTCTGCAGGTGCGAGATGCGAGTCTCGATGCGGTGGAGGAACGAATGGCGAAGAATGCAACGAATACTGCCCGTGCGGGGAGGAGTTGGAGTGCGACGCCCGAGAGCATGAATGCCTCTGCCCGCCGGGCTGGACGGGGACCGACTGCCGCCAGTCCTGCCCCGACGGCTTCTTCGGGCGCGGCTGCCGCGAGCCCTGCCCCGAATGCGGAAACGGTGAGGGGATTCTGGTCATCGGTTTAGTTCTGTGGAAGAGAGGTGCAAGGATCATCGCGCTCGGTTTCCTCGATTTTTTCGAGATGCTTCCGGTTCGGCTCGACTGGATGCATTGGGACGAGAATTGCTGAAAGTCTTCGCAGATATAGACCATCATAGTGTTCCAGCAGTCAGGAATATTTTGGGGAATTCGATTAGATCGAACGTCAGAATTTAATCACGACTTGAAATATAATGCAACGAGGCACACTAATCTTGTAAAGGAACCGAAACGGAAAACTCCGTCAAAGACACGCGATGATATTCTCGCGAATCCTGAAAGCGTTTCTGCACTACGCACTCTTCAGCAGAAAACGATGTTTTACGGAATCAGCCAAAAGAAAAATGATTGATTTTTTCCCGGTATTATCCAATAAGAAAACTTGTGAAAGAAACGTCATAGGAAGCCGGAATGCAGGAAGCTGCCCGAGAACGCGCAAAACGTGCCGGCCTTTCCAAAAGGCCTGCACGCGGCGTGGCCTTCGAGTCTGAGCTTCTTCACCTGCGGAACATACTCTATACGTTTTTTTTATCATTTATATCTCATCGTGACATCGTTCCCATGCATTATGACTGTTGGAAAACTCGTTTCACAGAGGTCCGTTCCCCACGTTTAATTATTGCTCCGCATCGGTTCTTCTTACTCCGAGAGGTAAGTGCTCGGTGAACGTTGAACTGGTACGAGGGTGATTTGGATGAAAACTGCAAAAGCTAAACAAACAATTATTCATTTAAGCCTAGGTTAAGGAATCTTTTTATCTTTTACGATAGTCTCCTGCTCTCTCAATGTGCTTCTTCCATCGCGAAACTAATTGCCTGGATTTCGTCCAAGAGAAGAACGTCTCTCGCAACGTCAAAAATTGCAGGAAAAAAAGATTTTGAGATGAACCCTCAACCAACCCTTTAGTCTAGTTTGCGGGCATCGGGTGAATCTTTAGCACATCGCAGTGTGATGTACTGTTTACAGTTATTTTTCCTTCTCCATGTTACTTGTAACTAATGCGACATACTTGACTCGAAGTCACTTCCTCGCTCTCGCCTTGTCGTAGGGCATGACTCAAGTGCAACCGAATATCTCGTAGCGGATGGATGACCGCAGACGTGGATAGATATATTACTCTATTAATATATTAATCTATTTAAATATAAATCGCAGATGCTTTCCTGAGGATATGAATTCCTCTTAGTTTATTTCTAATTTGGTCCGAATTTGGCAAGTTTCTTTTTCGCGTTTGGACAAAACAGAAAATCAGAACCCCAATGCCTGAGTGAAATCAAAGAAACGAATGAGGCTCAATTTTTCCTCGAATGGATTTCACGGCCCAGAATGGAAAGATTTACATTTGGATTCTGTCGTCCACCATTGTATGTTGGAGTTCAATTTCTTAATCTCATTTTTCTCTCTAAAGTATCCATTGGTTGAACATATTTCCTCTTAGTAACTGAATTTTTAATGGATTGAAAGTTTTGGATTGGTCTAATAACCCAATTCAGAAGAAATCATCGCAAGAGTCCGATATCTACTGCGCATGTGACAGATTAATCAAACGTGAGAGTCTCCACCAGGTGGAAAGTGAAGATTAAAATATATTTAATGCGTATTACTAACTTACATTGAGAAGTAACGCCTACATATTAATATCCATTCAGGCACGTGCCACCATGAGTCTGGGCAGTGCATATGTCCACCGGGCTCCACTGGTGGCAATTGCGAGGAGATCTGTCCACTTGGTCTTTTTGGACAAGATTGTCTTGGAATATGCGACTGCAAGGACGATGGGGAATGCGAGCGTGTCTATGGTTGGTTTCATCGCGAACTTGCTATGTTCTTAGAGTATAGATAATCATATGATTTTGATATATTTTTCCTTGTCAGGAAAGTGCATCTGTCTGCCTGGCTGGAAGGGGAAGAAATGCGAAGAGCCTTGTCCCGAAGGCACCTTCGGCCCTGACTGTGCCATGAACTGCACTTGCCTTAACGAAGGCGTGTGCCACGCGGACGATGGGAAATGCGTCTGTCCGTTCGGATGGATGGGTCCAAACTGCACAGAGGGTGAGTCGGGATCGCTTTCGCTAAGAACTCTTGGAGATGTAAGTCGCCTCATGGACTCCTTGATCTTTAACCAGCTTGTCCCGAGGGATATATCGGGGATGGGTGCACTCTGAAGGGATGCCGATGCCTCAATCGAAACTTTCTCTGTCACCCCGACAAGGGCTGCATCTGCCAACCAGGGCGTGGAGGTCCGTCCTTATCCTCGACTCCAGCATGCCTATCCACTTATCTCTCCCCATTCCCTTGCAGGCGAGAACTGCGAGGTGCTCTCGGCGCTACCGATTGCATTGTTCCACCATTCGTCGAGAGAGAAGATCTGCTCGGAGGCCATAGGGTTGATAGCTGCTATCATAGTGAACTTGCTCATCATCTTCATACTTGCTGGTTCCCTTCTCTACATTGAAAAGAAGCTTCGCCGTCTCAGGAGAATCTAATCGATTAGTCTCTTACCGTAATACTCCCACTTCTGGTATGAAAAAATTCCGTTGGACTCATTCTCGAACGCATTTTCATATCTTTTCTTGGTATTGTCACCATGGTATTCTGTTTGTCCAGATTGTAATTGTATCCCCGGCCAGGATTTACATGGCCCCAAAATAACTGCTGCTCGGTGAGAATATACCAAATTTCAAACGAAATTCAGGAATACCCATTGAATGCAGGAGGTTTACAATTCTGCAAACAACTCCGAGAATTAAACAATTATTTAGTCCAAACTGCATGCTTTTCTTCGAAACCGTTGAAAACGGTCGGACTCCGTACATTTCTTCATTTCGGTTATCACAGGCTTTTTCTACCAAGAATCAATGCAGTCCCCCGATCGGTCGAAGCAATGAAAGGCCTTCAGGGACGCGAGAAGAGGAAACCTCTCTCGACGCTGTTTTTTCGGAATCGGTGCATCAATCGTGGGACGATTAAGGGACCAACGACTCGGATTCTCGATTTTTACCCCATCGTTCCGTGTGTTTTGTTGCGTGGAAGTATGATTTTGTGTTAAAATGTGTCGCTTCCGGTTTTCTCTTTGTCTTCGCCTTCTGTTCCATTTTCCAAAGAAAATCTGAATAATATTTCTGTTCTTTGAGCACCTTGTCGTGGAAGATTGTCTCCAAAATGGTCTTTTTCATGGTCATGAAAAAAGCCATGGAAAATTGGTTTTTACATAAATTCATATACTGTACAGGGTGTCCTACTGGGAGGTATCCTGATTATTATTATTGTGTACAACTTTCCAGTTGAAACCGATGTGGAACATTCAGTGAAGTCTTTGAAGTTTTATTTTGTGCTCAACATGTCACACCTTCCAACCCACTTCAGGAGACGTTCAACAAAGTCACCAATAACTTTAGCACAGACAACACGTGACCTGAACAGCATTCGTGATGCGATTTCCTAGCTCATCCGTGGACGCATAACATCAACTCTGTTCTATGTGAAACCCCACATTAAAAAAATTTCTCTCTAGAAAGAAGTGTCGAAGGAGAAGGTGGACATGTTGAGTACTATACAAAACCTCAAAGACTACACTAACGATCCCATATTCGTTTCAACTGGCAAGTTGAACATACAAATAATAATATATTTAAAAAAATAAATAACATGGATACTCCCGTCATTTTAGGGGTTCTTCTCACGCTCTCATTTCTTCAGGTCCGGTTGCTGAGTATTCGAAACTCCATTATGAGTCATTTTGCAAAAATTAGAGACAAGTCCAGTTTTTCCGTCAGGAAAAGGCCGAAATAAGTAATTGCTCGCATGGAATATAGAGAGAAGACCTTCCAACCTCGACTCAGTTTAGATCGCGGCATAAATGAGCGATGTGAATCCTCATTTACAGCGAGACTTACTGTGCGGCATGTGTCGAATTTCTCACCGAGAATGGAAACGATGAGGTAGCCTCTTTATTTTTTTACTTTCTCACGTTCCTTTGTGACTTTTCTCTTCGTTTCCACAAGAATCTTTCCAAAAATGTATACCTTGTTCCTCCATCCTGCTTCCCTCAGGTCCTTCTGAGGCATTCCCGCTCAAGTGATCAAGGGGTGGTTGCGCTTCAGACTCCGATTACTTAATAGGGTCGACAAAAGATTGAGAAAAGGCACGGAAAAACCTATTGATTCAAGGCGATAGACTACAAATACTATAACGCCAGATGAACCTATTGGTACTTAGACTTTTAAGCATGGAAGCTTGGTCTTCTGACGATACGTATTGCACCACCAATACACGAATCCATATACAAGCACAATAAAAACTGGATTCCCAAAAATGGAGGAAGCGATTCAAGTTTCAAGATAGTGACATCAAGAGGTGATTACACCCATTTCGATATCACGTCCCAAGGTCGAGCGTTACTTAATAATATGGTAGGCCTCATATTCTTAAAGCTAAACATTTTTGTATTTTTGAGTTTTTTTTTAGCGTATCCTATTTGCTTACTTCCCCATCTTCAATATTGCGTCCCCCCCCCCACCTTTTTGCCTTTTTATGAAAGCATCCAGTTTCTTCTTTAAGCCTTCGGAGCCTTAAGTCGGTAACCGACTTAAGTTGCGTAAACCGCAGGTGCGGCACAGGTCGAGACAGGAATTTCTTACTTGCAGAGTGGTGAACGCGTGGAATGCGTTAGATGACAAAGTAGTGGCTGCCCCGCGCTGTGACTATCTTCAAGAAGAAACTAGATTCTTTCATGGACAGGTAAAATGGTGGGGTGTAATGTTGACGTTAGGTACTAGACAGTAAGCAACAAGGATAGTCAAATAATAAAAAAATAAATATAAATATAAATAAAAACAAAAATACAAAAATATTAGGCTTTAAGAGGGTTTGGCCTACCCTAAAATTAAGGAATGCTCGACCTCGACACGTAATGTCGAAATGGGCGAAATCGCCTCTTGATATCACTAACTATCCTGAAATCCTGAAATCCTGAAAATACAGGCGGCAATATATTGCTAATGTTGCGTTTAAATACGAACACCCTGTATATTAGATGCATGGGCATCCGTATGTCCGCAGTGACGTGCGCATGCGCGATGCGTTCTTCAGCCTGACTGGGAGTCTGTCTCGCTCTCTTCCACTCCCCATAGGTTCGAGACAAGAGAAAGGCAGGGGGTTTCACGGCTTCTGAAAGGCCATGAGAAGCTGAACTTCTGATACTCATGCCGTCTGATCCTTTCTGGGCCAGGGTACATGCAGTTATTCATCCCTAACAAATGGAAAAAGCTCGCCGGTGAGAGGAATTACACGGCTCCCCCCCCCTCCCCCCTAGATCTGGGGTTGAACGAGCCGTCGGACGACCTGACGACTTCACCACTCACCCCACCCTTGCATAAAGCCTTTCGGCGGGGGAGCGGGCGAGACGCGCGCATTCAGCTCTGGGCCATCACCCTCTCAAACCTCAGTTGTGACCTGGCGAGGGTCGCCTCCTCGACACGGCAACCAAGGTTGCCAACAGTCCTCCACGTTATTTCTCCCACGTCCGGTCTCGATCTGCGGTCACCTTCGAGCGGTTGGAGGAGCTGTGAATTCCGCAGATGAACTGACGGATGGAGCAACTCGAACTGGATCTCCGATGACTTTCCGAAACTCAAACGAAAACAAAAGAACCTACAGCAACTCTACGACGATCTTCGAACCTGGTGCAAAGTTATACCAATATTACCAACGTATTTTACGGAATTTTTACTAGCCTTAACCAGAGAGGTAGTGACTCCTCTAGCCCGAAGCGCCCGATTTTGGAAGTGGAACTGACGTCATCACAACGCACACGTCATCGAATTTGGGACAAATTCCCTACTTTCATTTAAAACCAAAGCTCTGCCCCGTTTTCACGCTGGGATTCCAATCATTTACTGGCGTACGCATTACTGAATTAAGAAACTTCCATAATCCTGTGAAGGTTTCCAATTCCTTCCAAAAAGGGGACTTGGGAAAATAAGAGAAAGCGAATCCATGTCGGAGGTGGTGGGAGATCCATTTCCTGCCAGGTCGGATTTGTTGAAAGCGTGAATTGGTCGTCTGCGATGGTGATGAAATTTAGCGGAGGGTAATCGGGCATGTTCTCGCATTTAAGTTCTCGCATTTCGTCCTAGCACAGTAGTATGGGGGAAATGCCATTCACGTGGAACGCTTCGCTCAGTGATGACATTGTTTTTCCCTAAATGACGCCTCCAAATGAAAAGGAATCTCAATGGGAATGGAGAGACACTCGAGGGCGTTGAGTCACGTCCCGCGGAAGGAGAGGCCTCGCAATCGTCTTTCCTCTGATACGTCCCACGGAAGCAAGAGGCGACTCAAGGGAGGATTCCATGCTGACTCCTCCATCCTAGTGCTTTCACCTCCTCCATCCTAGTGCTCCCACCTCCTCCATCCTAGTGCTTCCATCGTCGAGGCGCGCGTTCCTTCCCTCCGACACGTATGTGAGTGGTGTTTCCTGTGGAAGTGTTTGCGTTCGGTTTGCTTTCGTTAAGCGTGCATGTCGGCATGTCGCTTAGGTTATGAGAATGCAGCGACGAAGTCAGCTGCTTCCTCCGTTTTTTCGCGTTTCCTCCAAGGGGATACACTTTTTCCTTCTCCTGCCGAAAAAAGGAACCCATAGGTGCAAACCACAACGACCAACCGGTGAAAGAAATCGCCTCGGCAACGAAGGAGAGAGCGCGAATCGAAGCTTTCCTCCATCCCGATTCAGCTAAAAATGCTCGCCAGAGGGCACGACCTCATCTTCCCAAATAGATGTGACATCATATTGGTGTAAAGTAATCGTTCCTGCAGCATTCACGAATGCTGGATGGAAGTCGAAGAAGAACATCGCTCGAATGGCTCGCCCGATCGGATCTCACTGGAGATTCGCTCTAGCGCCACGTCCATCAGTTCGCATTGAAAAATCAATCAGAAGAGAAGCTAAATGAAACTTAATTTTTTTTTTACAAAAATGCTTTAAAAGATATTTGACGTCTTCGAATCGTGTCCCGTCAATAGTTTATGGGGACTCCGGGTACTTTTTCGATTGCGACAATCGAAACATTTCGAAAGCTGAAGTGACAGTGCAATGTGGGGTTCATGAAAGTGAGTTTTTTTTCTTTAGCTTATTCTCTTGCATCTCTCGCTGATGACGAAGTTATTATTATGACTAGTTATTATTTTCGTACACGTGAACGGATGCGCAAAGCCAACACTTCCAGAAGGATTTTTTCCCGTTTCCTAAAAAAAGAGCAAACATTTTGAATTGAAAAAATTCATTGGATCGAGCAGTTTCTGCCGATTCTGGCGACCGCATCCACACAAGATGGTCGAACCGCGTTCAACCTGACAGGCTCAGAGTCGTTTGCGAACGACTTTCTCGCTTCCGATCGATTCTGGACGACCTAACGTACCGAAACGAGTCATCATAGTGGCCTTTGAACTATCTATCGGAATAACTGGATTATTTATAAGAACTCTTTTGTCATTTGGCTCTGTGTGGGGGGGGGGGAACCGTCGTTCCTCCAATAAGTGTTTCGATGAAAATACGTTTTGAGTTCCTTGGATATTCCTAAAGATGGAAAAACGGGTTTGATTTTTGCGGAATATGCAAATAATTCTCCATTATTTGCAATTGCTGTGGATTTAGATGAAACCACAAAAGTATATATATAGTCCTTGAGCCCCAGAAGGCCCCCCCCATATAGTCGCCTGGAATCGTAAAACACGTTACAAACTCATTTTCATAGCTCATAATGAAAAACGTAATTACGTCGTCCTGCTCAACGTTGTCCCTAGTTGCTCCTACTTGATCCTGTTGTCCCTAGTTGATCGAGGGACGTTTGGCTCTGTCTGGCCGAATCTAATATCGTTTCTCTCTCCAATGAGAGAAAACGACCGTCGATCCGAATTTTTCCGCGACTCGGCCAAAGTCGAAAAGCATGAAAAGTCTGTTGATCTTCATTCTCGTCCATCACGCGGCGGCTCAGATGGGACGGAGCGATTGCATCGATGGGGAGCGGTGAGATTCATCTCGATCCTTTTGTCCTTTTGTTTAGTACCACCGGAAAAAGATGCGATATGGATTTCCTCGTCCCGACCATTGATTTCGTCTTTCAGGCGCGATGAAATGAATCCATCACTCCCCGCGGAATGCTGCGAAGGGTACGAGGCGTCGCCGGAGGGAGGCTGCAGACCGACGTGCTGGAGGGGATGCATCCACGGGTCCTGCGAGGAGCCTGACGGGTGCAAGTGCGAGGCCGGATGGATGGTGAGCCGACTCGGACGTGGAAATGAATAACAAATTAATAAATGTATTTCCCATATTCTCTGCATTCGCGGACAGGGCGAATCTTGCGACAGTGTCCGTGGGGCCGATGGGGATCCGGATGCAAGAAGGAATGTACATGCAGCCTCGGCAAGAAATGCTGCCCGGAGACCGGAACTTGCACCTGCCCGCCAGGCTGGATGGTATTTTTCCGGCGTTTTTGAGCGTCCGCGAATTGTTTCGCAGCGCGAATTCATTCCGACAGGTTTTTCTGCATCCGCATTTTGGGAACGTTTTGCAGGTCCCCATGTCCACCGAACCGGTGGGGCCAGAGCTGTTCAAATCACTGCGCTTGTCGCAGCTTCGAAACCTGCGACCCCGTCAGCGGCAATTGCACTTGTATGGCCGGATGGACCGTACGTTCTCTCTGTTTTCAGTATGGAGCGGATACAAAGGGCTTCACGGATTGCGAAACTTGAGTTTGAATGGGAAAATGTCCAAATTTAATGGTTTCTTTTTTCCTTTGAATTATGCAGTCCTCCTTTTTTTTTAAACATCCAAGTTTTCCTCCCAGAATGCTCCAAAGTTGTCGCGTGCTAGATTGGATTAGCTTTTTAGTTCTCATTGCCAATATGTATTTATTTATTTATATCAGTTCAAGTTGGGATTCTTCGGGAATTTCTTGTCATAACCGAGACAGAACGGATGAAACTTTTCGACAAATGCCGAAAACCTAGTCCTAGAGTATAAGAATCCCGATCAGGTTTGCACCATACTTTTGACCAGGGATGGCCTGATGTGAAATCAAAGGATGTGATGATGACAGAAAACAGGCACTCAGCTTCTTCAGTCGGTTTAATTGTCCCGCTATATTTCCATTTAAGTCGGAGGAAAAAAGAAAATTGGTTTCGAGTCCGTCTAATCCTTCGTGCCCACCCCCTTCACAGAAAGCATGAATCCTCAATTCACACGGAATGATATTCGATTTAATGCTTTCGTTCCCAGGGAAAGGATTGCGAGAGGAATTGCGAGGAAGGCAGCTGGGGACCCGACTGCAAGAATCGATGCGTCTGTCTAAACGGAGGAACCTGCAATGTCCTCAACGGGCACTGCACGTGTCGCCCCGGCTACGGAGGAAATGAGGTCTGCGCCGCCCTCCTCCCGTTCTGGTTACCGTTTCTTCTGCGGGATTCCATTTCCCGCCGTCGGAGGGAGCTAGTGGCTCGCTCTGAGTTTCTCGGGTTTCGGTCGTTTCCGATTCCCATTCGACTGGCGGGTCGCCGTCAGGTCAAATGGCATCGCATCGCTTTCGTCCCTGCGACCGAAATGTTTTTCAAACTGAGGATCCTTTCCAAATTTCGAAAATGCCTTAAAACCCGGGATATATATGCTTCCCATTCGGCACGACAACGTTTGTGTCAACATTGAGAAAATGTTGATTTTTCAACGTAACAATGTTGCCACGAAGTTGAAACGAAGCCCAGCTCGACGTAGAAAAGTCGATGCCGTGCAACGTTGTGGCAATGCCGAATTGTCCAAGTTCGGACATTATTGTACCTCCTCACTTATCCGGCGCTGATTCTGAATTCGAACCGAGTCCTTACACGACTCAACTCTCCTCGTCCAATAGAGGGAAACAAACCTGTAGGCACATTATCATGCTGTATCTCCGAGGGAAGAACTCACGGGAAAGTGTGGAGATTTAGGAAAATTGAGGATGTGTCCTCGGATCCGCTGGCCCAGAGTCTCCTTCTTCCGGATGATCTCATCGAACAGGTCTATCTAGAAGGGTCTAGAAACTCCTCCAGGGAACAGGGTCTAGAAACTCCTATGCCTTCCCTAATGTTGTAAATGGGAAAAGATAGGGTACTGTATGAAAAATGCATGGTACTGGCATGGCATAAGGGTCTGAATAGCCGAATTGGTGGTCAGGCACCATCTCGCTTCGATTCCTAGAACCTTTTTCTGTCGATATGATGCGGACAACTCCATTAGAAGCGAGGTTTGGTATAAGATGAAAAACGAATCTATGCGTAGTAGCCTCTGAACGATTTCCTTTCTTCCTGTGTTGTCGCCAAATGCTGAAAATACGGTAAAATTGCGAATGACTAGCTTTTGATAGACGTTGATTTTTCGTCGAACCCTCGACTTCGATCAAGTTTCAACGCTCCAACCTTTTCCCACTGTCGACACAACGTTGTCGGACAGAACGGAATTCATACAGGATTGGAAGAAATGCCAGCAACTTCATATAATATCTAAAGAATTCCCAGACGATTTCCATCCTGTCGCTTTAGTGCCAGTGCCGTTGCGAGAACGGGGGGACCTGCACCCCGGACGGCGTCTGCACCTGCAGTACTGGATGGTTCGGGACGCGGTGCGAGAAACGCGTCTGCCCCAACCACCTCTACGGACCCAAATGCGGGAAGCAGTGCATGTGCGTGTGGGTCAACACGGAAACGTGCGACCCGTTGAAAGGCTGTCGGTGCAAGCCCGGCTGGGAGGGTTCCCGGTGTTCCACCAGTTGCCCGCCCGGCCGATACGGGAAGAACTGCAACTCAACGTGCTTGTGCAAAAATAACGCTCGGTGCAATCCTGCGAATGGCGCTTGTGACTGTGCTCCAGGTAAATTTATTCATTTCTTTCTGGTATTTTTAAATGTATTTAAGATCTTTCCACGCCAAGTGGTACTGCGATTTTAGCCGAAAATTATCCCGAATCAGAAAATATTACTTTCGCTGCAGAAGTTCATCTCTTTTCCCATAATGCATGAATTGCAGAGAATATTACATTGAAAAATGTAGGATTTTGTCATGATTATTATACATAATTCATACCACTCTCACGATACTCAAAAATGCGATGTAAATGGAAATCCAGAGAGACTGAATTGGACAACTGGAACAGATGCCAACATGGGTTCTCCGTGCATGCTCGTTGTTCCAAATCGGCTCAGATGTGAAGAGTTGATGTCAGTGGTTCACATTTGAGTCGCGTCTTAAGAATAAAGTTAGCAGACATGTGCAGACGTCTCGTTTTCAAATACTCTCTCTGATCGCGAGACACCCGACGCCGTCACCAAATTGGCTTACTTTCTGTTTCAAGCGTTGTAATGTCGGGGTGACTCACACCAATTCCAGGCTTTCATTAATTCTAAAAAATGAACAGGAAACTAAATCATCAGGGTCCGCTCTACGACAGATATGTGAACGTTAGAGCGAGCGACTTCAACTCGAAATGTCACGTCTGACAGTTTTCTTTGCACGTGGGCACACCTCTAAGGAAGGAGAGAGCGCAAAATCCTTTTTATTGCGGAATTTTCAGTCAATACCCGAACCAAACAGTTCCAGTCCTTATATGCTGATTTGTCGTCCATAATATGGTTGAATGGATTTTTTATGGTGAACAGATCACTCCGGATGTCACGTCCGACACCGTGGGAAAAATATATGGATGAAATGTATGGGTAAAATTGTCATACTTCGTTTGACCCCAATGCAGGCTATAAAGGCCGACTGTGCGAGGAGCCTTGCCCGAGTGGAAGGTTCGGAAAGGATTGCGCTGACATTTGCGACTGTCCAGGACATTTCCTCTGCTCACATGTCGATGGAAAGTGCAGCTGCAAAGCAGGTATGGAGGATCCCAGCTTTCCGATTTTTTTTTTTTTGTTTTTCCCCGATGGGATTCACGGAGAGGAAACACTGAGGTCCGAAAGTGTCGAGCTCTCCAGATGAAGATATCGAGTAAAAATGCACCCTTCTTCTTCCTGGGAATATTTTCTCTTATTGCAGATCATCGTGATTAGCCGAAACAAAAACGGCGGTGACGTAATTAATTTCTTCATCATTTTTGCATGCCGATATGTTTTTCCGTCTTAAAATCTTGGAATACTTTGGATACGTTTTTTCCCGACGTGCACAAAGCACTGAATTTCGAAGACGCGTCTTCGCAGGCTGGCACGGGAGCGAATGCGACACGGAATGCCCGGCTGGGAAATTCGGCGAAGACTGTAGGCAAGAGTGCGCGTGCGACAACGGCGCTCCATGCGACTCCGTCACGGGCACCTGCATCTGCCCACTGGGTTTCAAGGTGGGTCTTACGTTTTATATATATGTATATTGCAATATATTGGGTTGGAAAGAAAGTCTTGCAACACTCTGCGCAAATTTTTCAAAATGTTATAACTTTATTGAAATGCAATTTCAGTCTACAATGTCATGACCATTGTTGTCTATGACATGTTCCCAACGCACGGGTAACTGCTCGATGCCCTTTGCCCAGAACTCTGGCAATTGCGAAGCGAAGAAACGGCCGACATCGTTTTCGAGCTGTGCTCGATCGTCGAAGACCTCGTCCCGCAGGTGATTCTTGAGGGCCCGGAACAAGTGATAGTCGGAAGGGGCCATGTCCGGAGAATACGCTGGATTAGGTAAAACTTCCCAGCCCGGTTCCGAAATCGTCTGGCGAGTCATCTTCGCAACACGTGGTCGAGCGTTGTCATGCAGAAGGAGAACTTTGTCGCGTTTGGGACGCTCTTTTTGAATGACGCCAGCCAACTTCTGAAGTCAAGCGGCGTAGACGACGGCAGTCACGGTGGTACCGTTTGGCAGGAGCTTATAGTACAACATTCCTTCTGAATCCCACCGACGGCAGAGAAGAACCTTCTTCTCGTGGAACCCTGGTTTCGGTTCGTGTGGCGGCAATTCTCCTCGTGGAAGCCACTGACTCTTGCGGGTATGGTCGACGTCGAGGACCCAGCTCTCATCTCCAGTAACGATTTCCTAGATGGACGTCCTGAGCGTGGTCGATCTCCGAAGGTCGTGTCGCCAGATTTCAAGCGTTTCAACCATCGAGACATCGTGGAATAGGGGACGACGTTCCCCTTGAATGCAGCGCAGATGTTGTCCGCGGCGGCTCTCGCAGAGTGTCCTTGGAGGAACTCGTAGTAGACGATGGGGCGAAGAGTTGCTCGTTCGATCGGAGCCTTGGCTCCCAACTAATGGCAGAAGCCGCCTTATCTACCCCGAGTGCAGAAGTTTCGAGAACATTCCAGCATATACGAATGCAAATCTCATGCTCATCATTCCATTGAAAATTTTTATAAATAGTTTTAGAAAGTCTTGCAAGACTTTCTTTCCAACCCAATGTTATTTGAATGTCTTGCGCACTTGCGGTCTCTTCCACCAGGGCCAGCAATGCGAGGAAAAGTGCGAGCACTGGAGCTACGGTCACTATTGCACCAAAACGTGCGATTGCGTGCAAGAATTAACCGAAAACTGCGATCCAGCCACTGGGTGGTGCATCTGCAAACGCAAACACTACGGTGAGTCGCGCTTGCTTTTATTTGAATGAATAAAAAATACTTTTCGTCGGACGGACGGCTGTCCATTCGATGCACCGTCGCCACCGACTATCGAATCCTTGCTGAGGACCAAAAATCCAACCTGTTCTAATAATAGGGACGAGTATCCAATAGTCCAATGGGAATCTGTGGCATTTGGTATCTATTTCTTTCGATCTGGAGCATGGCAGTGCGCATGCTCCAGACCATAGGGAATAGGTGCCAAATGGCAGGTATTCCCTTTGGTCGATTTTCGAATGTTGGGGATTACTCTCTTGCTTTCTTCATCGGTTCGACCATTCCAGAATGATGGATCCATTATATAGGCAGAGTACTTCCTATTCCATCTGTTGGAATTCAGACAAACACAGGTACTTCGTGATGGGTACTTCGTTCTGCAGGTGCGAGATGCGAGTCTCGATGCGGTGGAGGAACGAATGGCGAAGAATGCAACGAATACTGCCCGTGCGGGGAGGAGTTGGAGTGCGACGCCCGAGAGCATGAATGCCTCTGCCCGCCGGGCTGGACGGGGACCGACTGCCGCCAGTCCTGCCCCGACGGCTTCTTCGGGCGCGGCTGCCGCGAGCCCTGCCCCGAATGCGGAAACGGTGAGGGGATTCTGGTCATCGGTTTAGTTCTGTGGAAGAAAGGTGCAAGGATCATCGCGCTCGGTTTCCTCGATTTTTTCGAGATGCTTCCGGTTCGGCTCGACTGGATGCATTGGGACGAGAATTGCTGAATGTCTTCCCAGATATAGACCATCATAGTGTTCCAGCAGTCAGGAATATTTTGGGGAATTCCATTAGATCCAACGTCAGAATTTAATCACGACTTGAAATATAATACAACGAGGCACACTAATCTTGTAAAGGAACCGAAACGGAATACTCCGTCAAAGACACGCGATGATATTCTCGCGAATCCTGAAAGCGTTTCTGCACTACGCACTCTTCAGCAGAAAACGATGTTTTACGGAATCAGACAAAAGAAAAATCATGGATTTTTTCCCGGTATTATCCAATAAAAAAACTTGTGAAAGAAGCGTCATAGGAAGCCGGAATGCAGGAAGCTGCCCGAGAACGCGCAAAACGTGCCGGCCTTTCCAAAAGGCCTGCACGCGGCGTGGCCTTCGAGTCTGAGCTTCTTCTCCTGCGGAACATACTCTATACGTTTTTTATCATTTATATTTCATCGTGACATCGTTCCCATGCATTATGACTGTTGGAAAACTCGTTTCACAGAGGTCCGTTCCCCACGTTTAATTATTGCTCCGCATCGGTTCTTCTTCCTCCGAGAGGTGAACGTTGAACTGGTACGAGGGGGATTCGAATGAAAACAGCAAAAACTAAACAAACAAGTATTATTTATTGATGCCTAGGTTAAGGAATCGTTTTATCTTTTACGATAGTCTCCTGCTCTCTCAATGTGCTTCTTCCATCGCCAAACTAATTGCCTGGATTTCATCCAAGAGAAGAACGTCTCTCGCAACGTCAAAAATTGCAGGAAAAAAATATTTTGAGATGAACCCTCAACCAAGCCTTTAGTCTAGTTTGTGGGCATCAGGTGAATCTTTAGCACATCGCAGTGTGATGTACTGTTTACAGTTATTTTTCCTTCTCCATGTTACTTGTAACTAATGCGACATACTTGACTCGAAGTCACTTCCTCGCTCTCGCCTTGTCGTAGGGCATGACTCAAGTGGAACCGAATATCTCGTAGCGGATGGATGACCGCAGACGTCGATAGATATATTACTTTATTAATATATTAATCGATTTTAATATAAATCGCAGATGCTTTCCTGAGGATATGAATTCCTCTTATTTTTAATGGATTCAAAGTTTTGGATTGGCCTAACAACCCAATTCAGAAGAAATCATCGCATCAGTCCGATATCTACTGCACATGTGACAGATTAATCAAATGTGAGAATCCCCACCAGGTGGAAAATGAAGTTTAATATATATTAAATGCATCTTAAATGCATAGAGAAATAACGACTACATATAAATATCCATTCAGGCACGTGCCACCATGTGTATGGACGGTGCCCTTGTCCATCGGGATACACGGGTCGTAATTGCGAAGAGCCTTGTCCCGAAGGCACCTTCGGCCCAGACTGTTCCATGAACTGCACTTGCCATAACGAAGGCCAGTGTAATGCAACGGATGGGAATTGCATCTGTAAGGCTGGCTGGAAGGGGAAGAAATGCGAAGACCCTTGTCCTGAAGGCACCTTCGGCCCTGACTGTGCCATGAACTGCACTTGCCTTAACGAAGGCGTGTGCAACGCAACGGATGGGAAATGCATGTGTCGGGATGGCTGGACGGGAATTGAATGCGAAAAGCCTTGCCCTGGAGGCTTCTTCGGGCGCGGCTGCAACGAGACCTGCCCCGACTGCAGAAACGGTGAGGGGATTCTGGTGATCGGTTTAATTCTTTCGAAGAAAGGTGCAAGGATCATCACGCTAGGTTTCGTAGATTTTTTATATGTTATTTGATATATTACTCTATTAATATATTAATCTATTTTAATATAAATCGCAGATGCTTTCCTGAGGATATGAATTTCTCTTAGTTTTTTTCTGATTTGGTCCGAAATTGACAAGTTACTTTTTCTCGTTTGGACAAAACAGAAAATCAGAACCCAAATTCCTGAGTGAAATCAAAGGAACGAATGAGGTTCAATTTTTCCTCGAATTGATTTCACGGCCAGAATGGAAAAATTTACATTTGGACTCTGTCTTCCACTATTGTATGTTTGAGTTCAATTTCTGAATCTCATTTTCCTCTCAAAAGTATCCATTGGTTGAACATATTTCCTCTTAGTAACTGAATTTTTAGTGAATTGAAAGTTTTGGATTGGTCTAATAACCCAATTCAATTCAGAAGAAATCATCGTAAGAGTCCGATATCTACTGCACATGTGACAGATTAATCAAACGTGAGAGTCTCCACCAGGTGGAAAGTGAAGAAGCCAGGATGCAGGAAGCTGCCCGAGAACGCACAAAACGTGCCGGCCTTTCCAAAAGGCCTGCTCGCGGGGTGGCCTTGGTGTCTGAGCTTCTCCTGCGGAACTTACTGTATACGTGTTTGTCATTTACCGTGGCATCGTTCACATGCATTATGACTGATGGAAAATTCGCTTCGCTGCGATTCAATCCCCATGTTTATATATTTCTCCGCCTTGGTTCTTCTTACTCAGATAGGAAAGTGGTGAGTGAACTTTGACGTGGCAAGAGGGTGATTCGAATGAAAACAGCAAAAGTTAAACAAACAATTATTTATTGAAGTCTAGGATAAGGAATCTCTTTACCTTTCATCATAGTCTCCTGCTCTCTCAATGCGTTTCTTCCATCGCAAAACTAATTTCATGGATCTCGTCCGAGAGAAAATGAGTCTCGGAACGGTCAAAAAAGATTATAGTTGCTTGGGGCCAAGTCAAGAGAATGAGGGATTGTGGTATCGCACCAAAATACCGGAAAAATGCAGGGAAAATTATTAAATTATTAATTATTATTAAAATTGCTGGGAAATGCTGAAAAAATGGTGAGAATGCTAAGAAACTGCGGGGAAAAAAACATTTCCAGATCAACCCTCGATGTTTTGTATGGATAGCGGGCTTCAGGTGGCTCTGAGGCACATTGTGATGCACTGTTGACAGTTCTTCGTGCGACTCTCCAAAAGAAAATAACCGATTGTTTAATCCTTTATACGGTATGCATCACCTTTCCTGGCCAGGTCAAGCAGCATCTTCAAGATAATGAGCGGCACTTTTTCAACTTTTCGACGCATTCAGACCTTTGTGACGCTGCTTTCTCACCATGCATAATAACCATCCTGCTCTCATCCCGATCTCGGTGCAATTATCTATTTACACAAGCAAAATGACGATGAAGCTCAGGGGTGTCAACTAAAGCGAAGTAACTTCGCGATGTAAAATATTTTGCATTAAACTCATGAATAATTATCCTCTTTCGTGTCACCCTCTAAGTCTGGGTGAAGATATATTATCTCTTCCCGACACACTTCGCTTACAGTCTCTTCCTCACGCTCGCCTTGTCGCAGGGCATGACTCAAGCGGAACAGTATATCTGGTAGCGGACGGATGACCGCAGACGTCGATTCGATAGAAGGATGGTTTTCCATAATATATTAATCTATATTTATATAAATCGCAGATGCGTTCCTGAAGAAATGAATTTTTCTTAGTTTTTCTGATTTGGTCCGAATTTGGCAAGTTCGATTTTCGCGTTTGGACAAAACAGAAAATCACAACCCAAATGCCTGAGTGAAATCGAAGGAATGAATGAAGCTCAATTTCTCCTCGAGTGGATTTCACAGTCTAAAATGAAAAGATTTACATTTGGATTCCATATTCGACCATTGTATGTTGGAGTCCAATTTCTTAAGCTCATTTTTCTCTTAAAGGCATCCTTTGGTTGAACATATTTCCCTTAGTAACTGAATTTTTAATGAATTGAAAGTTTTGGATTGGTATAACAACCCAATTCAGAAGAAATCATCGCACGAGCCCGATATCTAGTGCACATGTGACAGATTAATCAAATGTGAGAATCGCCACCAGGTGGAAAATGAAGATTAAAATACTTTTAATGCGTATTACTAACTTACATTGAGAAGTAACGCCTATATATTAATATCGATTCAGAGACGTGCCACCATGTGTATGGACGGTGCCCGTGTCCATCGGGATACAAGGGTCGCGATTGCACGGAGATCTGTCCACCTGGTCATTTTGGACAAGGTTGTCTGCAAGAATGCGACTGCAAGAACGATGGCGAATGCGAGCGTGTCTATGGTCGGTTTCATCGCACACTTGCTTTGTTCTTGGAGTATAGATACTTATACGGTTTTGATGTTTTTTTTCGCCAGGAAAATGCATTTGTCAAGATGGCTGGAGGGGGGAGAAATGCGAAGTGCCTTGTCCTGAAGGCACTTACGGCCCAGACTGTGCCATGAACTGCACTTGCCGTAACGAAGGCGTGTGCAACGCATCGGATGGGAAATGCGTTTGTCAGGATGGCTGGACGGGAAATGAATGCGAAAAGCCTTGCCCTAGAGGCTTCTTCGGGCGCGGCTGCGGCCAGACCTGCACCGAATGTGGAAACGGTGAGGGGATTCTGGTCATCGGTTTAGTTCTGTGGAGGAGAGGTGCAAGAATCATCACGCTCGGATTCCTCGATTTTTTCGAGATGCTTCCGGTTCGGCTCAACTGGATGCATTGGGACGAGAATTGCTGTATGTCTTCGCAGATATGGATTCAAGTGTTCCAGCAGTTAGGAATATTTTGGGAAATTCGATTAGATGGAACGACCGCATTTAATCACGACTTGAAGTATAATGTAAATATGCATAGTTCTGTGGAAGAAAGGTGCAAGAATCATCACGCTCGGTTTCGTCGATTTTTCCGAGATACTTCAGGTTCGGCTCAACTGGATGCATTGGGACGAGAATTGCTGTTTGTCTTCCCAGACATAGACCACCATACTGTTCCAGCAGTTAGGAATATTTTGTGAAATTCGATTAGATCGAACGAACACATTTAATCACGACTTGGATAGATATATTAATCTATGTTAACATAAATCGCAGATGCGTTCCTGTGGAAATGAATTTCTCTTAGTTTTTCTGATTTGATTCGAATTTGGCAACTTACTTTTTCGCGTTAGGACACACAGATAATCAGAACCCAAATTCCTGAGCAGTTAGGAATATATTGGGAAATTCGATTAGATCGAACGACCGCATTTAATCACGACTTGAAGTATAATGTAATAAGCCAGACTAATCTTGGAAATGAACCGAAACCGAATGCTTCGTCTAGGAAACGCGATGATGTTCTCGCTCATCCTGAAAGCGTTTCTGCACTACGCACTCTTCAGCAGAAAATTATTATGTTTTATGGAATCGGGGAAAATAAATTAATGCTTTTTTTTTCCCGGTATTATCCAATAAGAAAACTTCTGAATGAAATGTGCTAGGAAGCCAGGATGCAGGAAGCTGCCCGAGAACGCACAAAACGTGCCGGCCTTTCCAAAAAGGCCAGCACGCGGCGTGGCCTTGGTGTCTGAGCTTCTCCTGCGGAACTTACTGTATACGTTTTTGTCATTTATTGTGGCATCGTTCCCATGCATCATGACTGATGGAAAATTCGCTTCGCTGCGATTCAATCCCCTTGCTTATGTATTTCTCCGCCTTGGTTCTTCTTCCTCAGATAGGTAAGTGGTGAGCGAACGTTGAACCGCTAAGAAGGTGATGCGAATGAAAACAGCAAAAGTTAAACAAACATTTATTGAAGCCTATGCTGAGGAATCTCTTTACCTTTCATCATAGTCTCCTGCTCTTTCAATGGGCTTCTTTCATCGCTAAACTAATTACCTGGATTTCGTCCGAGAGAAGAATGCCTCTCGGAACGGTAAAAAAAAAAGTTTATAGTTGCTTGGGGCCAAGTCAGGAGAATGAGGGGAGTGTGGTATAGCATTAAAATGCCGGGAAAATCCAGGGAAAATAGTTAAAAATGATGGGAAATACTGAAAAAAAAGTATTTTTTTAATCAACCCTCGATGTTTTGTCAGGATAGCGGGCTTCAGGTGACTCACATCACAGCACATCACAGTGTGATGCACTGTTCACAGTTTTCCCCTTCTTCGTGTGACTGTACAAAAACGCAAACCCCATGTTTAATCCTTCATACGATCAGCATCACCTTTCCTGGCCAGGTGGAACGGCATCTTCAAGATGATAAGCGTCACTTTTTCAGCTTTCCGACGCATTCAGACCTTTGTGACGGACATTTCTCACCATGCGCATTAACCATCTTGCTCTCAACTCGATCTCGGTGCAATTATCCATGTACAGAAACAAAATGAGGATCAAGCTCAAGGGTGCCAAATGAAGCAAAGTAACTTCTCGATGGAAAATATTTTAAATTTAACTCATAAATAATCATCCACTCTCTTGTCACCCTCGTATGGGTGAAGAGGTATGCTGTATATCTTCGCGACATTCTTCGCTCCGAGTCACTTCCTCACGCTCGCCTTGTCGTAGGGCTTGACTCAAGCAGAACGGAATATCTCGTAGCGGACGGATGACCGCAGACGTCGCTTCCATAGAGGGAAGGTTTTCCCAAATATATTAATCTATATTAACGTAAATCGCAGATGCGTTCCTGAGGAAATGAATTTCTCCTAGTTTTTCTGATTTGGTCCGAATTTGGCAGGTTACTTTTTCGCGTTTGGACACACAGAAAATCAAAACCCAAATTCTTGAGTGAAATCAATGGAAAACGAATGAGGCTCAATTTTTCCTCGAATGGATTTCACGGCCCAGAATGGAAAGATATACAGTACATTTGGATTCTGGCGTCGACCATTGCATGTTGGAGTTCAATTTCTTCATCTACTTTTTCTCTCAAATGTATCCTTTGGTTGAACATATTTCCTCTTTGTAACTGAATTTTTAATGAATTGAAAGTTCTGGATTGGTCTAACAACCCAATTCGGAAGATATCATCGCACCAGTCCTATATCTACTGCAAATGTGACAGATTAATCAAATGTAAGAGTCTCCACCAGGTGGAAAATGAAGATGAAAATATTTTTAATGCGTCCTACTAACTTACATTGAGAAATAACGACTACATATTAATATCCGTTCAGGTAAGTGTCACCATGTGCATGGACGGTGCATATGTCCATTGGGATACACGGGCCTCAATTGCGAGGAGTTCGACTCGGTGGCCAAAGGGTTGATAGCTGCCATCATGGTGACCATGTTCATCGTCTTCATACTTGCGGGTTTCCTATTCTACATCGAAGAGAAGCTTCGCCGTCTCGGGAGAATCCAATCGACAATCTCTTTCCGTAACACTCCCACTTCCGGTATGAAAATATTGCATCGCAGTCATTCTCGAACGCATTTTCATATCTCTCCTTGGAATTTTTCACTGTGGTGCGAATATACCAAATTTCGAAGGAGAATTCGTTATTGAAGTTTATAATGCAGGAGATTCCAAATTTAGCATACAGCACCGAGAATAAACAATTATCAGGGCCAAACCGCATGCTTTTCTCCGAAAGTGTAGAAAATCGGTCGTCCTCATCTCGTTTTTCACAGGCTTTTTCTACCGGTAACCAATGCCGGCCCCCGATCGGACAAGGCAACAAAAGGCCATCATGATCGCGAGAAGATGAAACTCTCTCGACGTTGTTTTTTTGGAGTCGGTCGATCAATCGTGGGACTAAGGACTCGGATTCTCCATTTTTACCTCATCGTGTTGTGTGTTCTATGTTTCGTCGAATGACGATTTTGTGTTTAAAATATGTCGCTTCCGGTGTTTTTTTTTCTAGTCTTCATCTTCGTTTCCATTTCCTTAAGAAAATCTGAATAATATTTCTGTACTTTGAGCCCCCTGTCGTGGAACATTGGCCCTAAAACAGCCTTCTTCACTCTATGAAACCGAGATCTAATGTGAATGGCATTTCCGCGGCCGAAAAGTCTGAAGAGATTTTTTTGTTCTGGAGGGCGAAGAAAGCTTTTCGACATCGATCAGAACACTAGGCAGCCATGAAACCATCCCGTTAAGTCTGCTGGAAAACCTCATCACGAAATCGTCTAAAACGGGATGAAACGCGGCCGACAATCGAAACAGAAATGTCTCCGAGGGGCTCCGAGGGATTTGGTAGCGCCTATTACATTTCTTCAACCACTTCCCGTAACAAAATTCAAATTCCTCGTGTTCCCCTCTGGGCGCATCAACAGAAACGATATTGTGCATGTTCCCTCTCTCAACACAAAGTCCCTCCAGCAAATTTTGAAGCTCCATTTCCTCAACATTGCGGTGAACACTGAACCTCCTTTTTTGAAGGTGTGAGTTTTATTCCTTTTTTCTCTCTTTCCCCCTCTCCCGCCACTCCTCGAGGGCTTTCGGAGAACAGAGATCAACTATGGGAAAGATTCTCGTAGATGACGAAAAGTGCCATTTTTTGTTTTTGCGATGGCAAAATTCGCTGTAAGAAGTGAAATTAACTGTTCATTTAAGCTTACAGTGCTGGCTCCTATCCCGTCTCCCAGTGTTGCCGGATGTCGTGCCGAAATCATGCCAGATCCACGAATACTTCGACCTTCGTATCCGTGTGGCTTTTTCATGCATGAGACATTCATGTGCTGAGCTTATGAGATGAGCTAAAAGAACGAAGCGGTGGTTAGCAGTCGTCGACGAGTTGTGGGAAATGGAGCGATATTATCCAGACATCCCTGAATGAACAGGACGGCGCGCACCCTGGACTCCACGCTTCCTGTGGAGGCATTCCCTCCTCAGACCTATTCGAGATGGCTCGAGGAACTCCAGCTAGGGCGAACGTTCTTCGTTCTCACTGAAATGGTCCATGAAGCGCAAAACAGACCTCGAAACGGCCTAACTTTACATTTCATCAACGAGATGTCTCGAAGACCACGGATTCACCTTCATAGACCTAATTGGTCCTGTAAGTCGAGAAAAGTGTATGATTGGCCTAACCCTAAAGCAGTCTGATGATGAAGCCTAGGCCTAACTTTAGTTAGAAAGCCATGAAAAATTGGTTTCTACATTGCTTCATGTACTGTACGGGGTGTCCCACTAACCATTTCATTTTCCTGTTTATCACATATACAACTTTCCAGTCGAAACCGATGCGGAACAGCCAATGTAGTCTTCGAAGTTTATTCTGTTCTCGATGAAACCCGACAAGGAAAAAATTTGCCTCAAGAAATTTGTCTTGTTGTTGTTGAAGACTATGTGATGTTGAAGACTAAACTTCAAAGACCACGCTATCTGTCCCACATTCGTTTCGACTGGAAAGCCGTACATACATACAGCAATCAGGGAAAATAAAATGGACACTCCCTGCATATCGGGGGTCTTTCTTCAGGCCTGGTCGCTGAGCCTCAAAAATCCCATTCTAGGCAGTGACTGATAATTCCGTAATCCTCTCTTTCGTTTGAGGTGTACCCATGTGCAAAGAAAACCGAAAAAAAAATTTCGTGGAACCTCCAGTTAAAGTCGCTCGTTCTAATGTTCACATATCTGTCGTCGAGCGGACCTCGATTATTTAGTTTCGTGTTCATTCCTTAGAATTATATAAAATTAAAATTAAATGAAACTTTAGATCGAATGAAAGCCCGGAATCGCTGCGGGTCATCCCGAGATTGAAACACTCAGAAAAGGAAGTGGGCCCATTTTGTGACCGTGCCGGATGTGACCGTGCCGGATGTGACCGTGCCGGATGGGGCCCGTTCCGAAGACGCATTTTAAAACGAGAAGTCCCTACATATCTTATAATTTTATTTCAAAGATATCCCTCTAATGTGAACAATAGACATCTCTTCACACCTGAGCTGATGAATAATATATCAATATAATGAATAAATTTTTTCATTTTTCAATATAATATTCGATAGCACTCTTAAGGGTGCGCAGGTTCCAACTATCCGGTGGGTGCACGCGAGCACCGTCGGGAGATGGATTAGTCTTTTTACCTGAAAATCCGGACTTATCCGCACCTCGCTCAGATCTGCGTAGAAACGTGTTTTCGGGGCGGAACGAATGATGGGCATGCCGTGGAAATGGACAGGGTGAAGAGGCGCGGGAACCCGTGCAAGTGGATGACATCGCGAAATCCTAAACCTGTGGAAACGTCCTGGACACCAAAAATCCCCTTCCTTTCTGGGATGTGTTTTGCGAATTCGGTGTTCGGCCATCTCTCATTGGATCGTCGTTGTCACGAAAGTCCCTTTTCAGGTCAACATCATTCTCAACTTATTCGCTTTTCGCTCCTGGCGATTCCGGTTCGCCCTCATTGTATTTTACCTGTTCGGAGTCTCATGAGAGTTTTAGTATGCATGAAAGTCAATGGATGTATCCATGGGAATTTGTTTTGAAGGGATCAGACAGGTCTTTTATTAAAAACATTGACCCTTCTATGGAGACCAGATTCTCTATTTTGAGAAATCTTTTCCTAAAATAGCCGTATCCTTTAAACCCGACACCGTGGGCTTCAGCAAACCCCTCGACTAATCTTCGGGAGCCAGGAAAAGCTACCTGGATCATTCGCAACAAAAGTACCTCGAAGTACCATAAAGCTTGAAAGCTACAAAACTAGTTACATCGTGGAACGTTTCATCTAAGTTCACAGCGGTGAACTTCATCGGGATCACGACTAAACAGAAAAAAATGAAATGAACCATCGAGTCACAGCGAAAGTAGGATATAGAATTACAAAAAAAATTGGATAGCCTAAGCTAGATTGACAGGCAGAGGGGCAAAAAAGAATGAGTCCTGAGGATGAATGGGTTGGGGGGATGGAGGGGTTGGGGGGATGGAGGGGTTGGGGGGATGGAGGGGTTGGGGGGAGTGGGTACAAAGCCAAGGAACTTGGGGGACAAGAAAGGAGGGCAAGAGAGGGTGGGTCAGATGAGAAGGGGACCAATTTTAAATCCTATTCTAAAAATTATGATACGGTAGAAATAAACATCTCGTAAGTTAAAGCCCCCAATGCTTTGAACCTTCAAGATAATAGAGGACTCGATTTTAGATGGTAGTCATGAGTGGAAGACGCAATTATTTTAATTATCGTAAACTTTTGATGAGCTGTCATTATGCATTGGTACCGCAGGAACCATTTTGTCCCATTTCTCATTTGGGACCAAAATGTCCGGGACCAATTTGAAAAGGGTCTCCTATGGATGAACAAATCCCGAAACCTATACCATCAGCGTCCGTCGATACCTCGAGGCGATCGAATGCAGAACGTGCAAAGTAAAGAGGGAAATATCGTTTCCCTCGATCAGATAAGGAAGTTAAAAATAATTTATACTGAAAAAATTCTCTCCACAACAGTGAGCCCCGAGGAGAAAGAGGGCCAAGAGACGCGAATATATTTTTGAAACATTCTCGCTGAATCTTGAGGAAGGGCAGGCCCCCCCCCCCCCCCAAGGCACCGTACCGCTTAATATTCTTAATGGCGATTTCCACACCGATATATACGAGGGCGATCAAGTACGAGTACTCAAGTACTATTTCATGCCGGCTGAAATGCTCTAGTTGCCCTTGAAATTTGATTCCATCCGAAATGCTGTTTCTTTTGTGCACGATTCCCATGCATTTCGGCCTTGGACCTCCCAAGGAGATTTCATTTCGTGGCGATTTCAATTCGGGAGATGTTCTTCGAGGGAAGCGTGCCAAAAGATTTTTAATTTTTAAATAATTAAGAAATAATAAAAAATAATTAATTTTTTTTTGCTTTCCCAGATAGGTCACAGAAGAGACGGAATTTTCCATTTTCGGATCATTTCACAATTCGACTGATCAAAACGATTTCACATGCATTTTTTCGATATAAATAGGTACCGAAGCGTGAATTCCTGCAGTTAATTTGAAGGACATCGCCGCTCCCTTTACCACACAGGAACGAACTACTAGGAGAAAAAAATTTGATATTTCCCGAGAAATTTTTGAGAAAAAAAATTAATAATCTCCAATCGAGCCGATCCACTTCGAGGCAAAACATTCCGAACTCAAGCAGAATTTATTTCTCCCGGAATATATTCTCGCGAAAGCCACACCAAGTCCAGACCTCAGTCTAGACCCCGGTCCACAAAGTCTAGACCCCGGTCCACAAAGTCTAGACCCTGGTCTGCTCAAGGATCCACTCGAGGAAGGTCGGCAGCTCCGCCCACACGGCCGGCCTCGCCTCCCCGCACGACGACGAGCCCCAGCTGGTCGCCCCGTACAGGTACCGGTTCCCGTCCTCTGCCTCACAGTACAGCGGGCCGCCGGAGTCGCCCTGAGATATTTTCTCAACTTATTATTGCCAACCAATATTGTCAACTTATTGCTTCTCATTCGCTTTCTCCTTAATAATAACGCATTTAAATCCCAATATTTTTCTTTAATTTTCTCCCCAATTTTCTCGCCTTAATTTATCAAAAAACAATTTTCAAAAATTATATATAAATTATTTTAAATAGAGAAAACTTTTTCGCCTCACCTGGCAGACGGACTGGCCGCCCCCGCGGTCCCCAGCGCAGATCTCCAAATCCGGCCAGATGTTCTGCGGGTCCGCCGACCAGAGATCGTCGCACTCGTCGTCCGGGATCACCCCGATCGCGACCCACTGCAGCACGCGGCTCGTGGGCCCGCCGAAGAACTCGTTGCCCCAGCCCGACGCTATGCACATGTCTGTGGCCCGATTAAAAACCAGAGGTTAGCCGGATTGCGGTTTTCCTTCAACTTAAAATAATAAATATTAAACTGATTTTCTTTTTAAATTATTTAAAAAATTAAGTTTGACTTCTATAGGTTGAATACAAATTGGAGAGCCTCAGCTAATCTTCAGCTAATTAGTTTGTTTTGAATCATCTCAAGAAGAAAAAGTTATTGGCAACCAACAGCCAAAACACAGATGGCAATTTAAAAGCCGACTATTGAACCAGCGACTGATTCGTACTCGGGTCCATGTTCGGCTGCTGCCCGTCCAGGGGAAGAACGGCAGGCTGGACGAACTCATCAAACTCCAACGGCGCGTCCAGGGTCAGCACGGCCACATCGTTGATGATTTGTCCGCTCGCCCTGCAGAAAGCACGATCTCGTTACAGACCCGAGTGATCCACCCGAGTGATCCACCCGAGTGATCCACCCGAGTGATCCACCTGGGCGATCCACCCGAGTGATCCACCTGGGCGATCCACCCGAGTGATCCACCTGGGCGATCCACCTGGGCGATCCGCCCTGACTCACCCTTGCCAGTCGGGATGTTGGACTCCCCGGATCACACTGCGCCGCTGGCCTTCCTCCGCGATCACGTCCACCACGCCAGCAATCACCTGGACCAAGTACCAAGTACATCCTTCGTTTCTGGTTTCCTCGAACTTTTAAACTTTTAAATGAAACTTTTGTTCTATCTGTAATATTTGCTCATTTTGTTATTATTATTATTGTTATTATTGTAGGGAATTTTCATGCCGTGCCAACGCGACCTCGTTTTCCGCCTCTGGGTCCGTGGAAGGGGCGTGGTCTTTCCGTGCACTTCAGTCCGCGGCACGACATCCCACGACATAACGACATCCCACGACATAACGACTTCCCACGACACTTTGAAACGAATGCCCTCACCTCAGTGTCCTGGAGGTTGATGAAGTCGAGGCAATGAGCGGCCGTCACGATGTGAAGCTCATCCAGGATGCTCCCCCCGCAGCGATGCGATCCGAAATATTGGAACGAGATCTGGTACGGGAACTGACCTGTTTCAACGTCCAAAAGTACCTTCTATTATTACCCTCCATATTCTTCGCATACATTTAAGTTATTTTTTTATTATTTATTTGTACATATTCATATTTCTTATGTGAGAGGACGCGGTCGGTCGCCGAACCTTCCCCAAACCCAAATGGCAAGCCTTCCGTGCAAATTATGACGCCCCTGCGACAAGATTTGCCAATTCGGATGCCTTCCCTATAATCACCATGTATGTTATGCTAATTACTTTATATAAATTATTTGCATGGTACAGTAACCTTCATTTACATTCAAATTTAAAAAATGAATTACCAGTCCCTATTGTTGAGCACATTTGGCTGTTAAATGTTGCGAACTGCGCAAAATTGCATTCGGGTATTTGCACAGTTTCGCGCCAACTTCGTGGCGCGTTTTTTTTTTTTGCAAATGAAATTTGCAATTAAGTAAAATGCAAATTGAAGGATATCATTTGGCTTTGAAGGAGTTTCAACCGCCATCGATTCTTGCTTGTCGCCAGTTGCTTGTCGTTCGCCTGTCGCTTGTCGCCAAATTCAGCAAATCTCACTCCATCCTTTTCATTGCAAATTTTTTGCTTGCAAAAAACAAATTTTCCGGCGTTTCACCTTCGGATTTCACTTTATGGCGTTCCGTTTCCCTCAATTTTAATAATTTATTTAAATAACAAATTATTAAAATACGTAATTGCCCCACCTCCACAAAGAACTTAACTATAACTCGCGAAAAACTTTAAATTCTAATTTAAAATTTATAAATTGTTTCAAGAAATTCGCCGAGTCTCACCTGGATCGGCCACTTCACCCCCGACGATGCGACTGTGGCCCGTGCCAATCCAGGAATGGCCACGACGGGACACGTCCGCTCCTGCTCGAAAAGTGCGAAATGCAGTTTGGCGTGCAAAAAATGCGATTTGCAATGCAATTTTTTTTGGGAAATACCGTGTCCGACGGAGAGGACCAGGGCGAGGACGAAGAGGCGGAACATGGCGTCGGTTCCTCACAGTGAAAATCCGTGGATTTTCTGAAATCCGGGGATTATCCCCGCTGAAATTTATAGCGGAATCGGCCGAGACCCGCACGCGTTGCGCAATTTTCCCACGCGTTTTTCCCCCATCCGTGAGACCCGGCGCACGCGGAGGCCCAAGGTCGCCATTTTTTTCTCGGGAATCCCAGTGACGTCACATCAGGTGCAACTGGTGACGTCATGGATGTGACGTCACCAGTTGCACCTGTTGGTTGAAGGAGGATGAGAAAGGTTGAAGTTCCAAGCTCAGCGAAGAACTTCTCAAGACAATTTCTTCGCTGCAGAATCATTTTTCTCTCATTCGGCTCGCAACAGAGTTGCCAGATCACAGAATCCAGCGCCGGATTCTGTGATACGACGCCGGATTCTGTGATCCGGCGCGGTCGTTTCCAATCGACGATGCGAGTCGTCAGATCGATCCGGTATAATTTTTTTTTTCTTAACCGCCAGAATCGTCTGATCGGGTTAAGTAACCGCGAGGTTTACCGTTCCTCTGGTCGGTCCGGCAGAATTGGAGGGTCTCCTGCCCCAAGCATGAGTGAATTTAGAGTGAAAAGTTTTCTGGACTGGAGAGTGAAGTGTCGGGGAGAAAGGGAAGAAAAAGGAGGTCTGGTGATGCGCTGCTGCCACCTGGGGATAACCGCTGGAATGATAAAAGGCCTTTCGTGGGAGATCAGCCGTATTAGAGGATGAGAATCGGATGAGGATAAGGATGAGGATGAGGATCGGATGAGGATAAGGATGAGGATATGATAAGGATGAGGATAGGATAAGGATGAGCCAGCCTTCTTTAATCCCTTAATCCGAGCATGGCTTCGCTGCTTCACGGCTTCGTCTTCCGGTATGTGGTTTCTGCCGACTGCCCGAGTAAAAAAAGGTAAGCGAAAGGTAAGCTAAGAGGCGAGAGTAATGCTACCTATCTTATTTCTGTGTGCTGCTGCAAAAATATTGGATAACTTTTGCCAGACCTAGGCGGAAATATTTGGCACATTGGCATTGGAAATAATTGAAATTATTATTTTTTGCCTCTAGAGTTTTTTATTAACCTCTAATTGCCATGGGCGGTGAACGGTTAGTTCATAGAGCATTAAGACCAGATGAAGAAAACGAGGCAATCGAGCGTTCATTTCGAACCAATTTTCGCAAGTGGCAAGTTCCCCTTTCGTGAGACTGGGTCCCGGCTTGGGAAACGCTCAGGAAAACGCTTATTGCAGGCGATGACATATTTGCATAACTATTGGCGAGAACGACGCGTTTGCGTGAGAGCGGCATGAAACCTCGCGGACGAAAAAATTGGCCCGACCAATTTCACGACCAATTTTTCCATGGCCTTCTCCACCTTCCTCCTTTTCACCTTGAACGATGCGGAAGCAAGGATCGCCTCAAGTCGGTGGTGTTGGCTAATCATTTCTTCATTAGTTGAATTTTGCCATCATCGGGAATTGACGGCCTTCATCTTCTGGGTGCAGCGCATTGCCTGTGGGGAAGCAAGAGCGACGTCGAACTAATTGGCGTCGAGATTGTCTTCCTTCTCCGCGTGTCACATCTGAGAAGCAGAAGAGAGGCGAAGTTTTTCCAGCTGGGACCAAATGAGAGATAAGGTATTATCAGCCCCACCTTTCTGAGTTTTATGGACAACTGTTGCAGCAAAGGCGATTACTTTCGGTGCCGAAGGACACCCCGGGTACATGTCATTTGGTACATGTCATTTGGTACATGTCATTTGGTACATGTCATTTGGTACATGTCATTTGGTACATGTCATTTGGCACATGCCAGTGCTAGGTTGTCCCTGCTTAGTTGGCATTTCAAGTTTATCAAGCAGACAGAGTTTTCACAAAAGCATACTTCATAACCCATATTTCAATGCTTAGGGCAGATGTATTTAGTGGATTTATGACATCTCACAACACCGACCAGGGAGTTTCTTTCGAAACTATTCACAGGTTGAGACGCTCAGGGTCCATCCCCTGAGTCTGGCTGCAAAGTTCTGCATCGCCCCGAGGAACGCCGTCAGCGGGATGACTCGTACAGCGTGGAGGGCGTTGCCCTTCGGCGGGCGTGGAGGGCGTTGCCCTTCGGCGGGCGTGGAGGGCGTTGCCGGGTGTGGGGGTTGGGGATGTTGGGACGCTGCGTCCTCATGCCGAGGAGATTCGGTGAAAGCACGAGACAACTTCGTGAAGGAGGTTCAAGCGGTTCCTGAAAGTGGTTCGACTTGAACCCACCAGATGTCACTCTTGTCTTCAGACAGACAAGATCTCGCTTCATGCACACGTCAGATGGAGTTTACGTAAAATACACGTACTCTCTGGTGATGTAAATATAGGAACGTAAATTTTACGTAAACGTGGTGTCATTTTCATGGCTATCGCAAGAAATTTCGATTGCTTGCAAAAAATTGAAATCTTGTTTACGTAAACATGCTGCTTGGGTGTCTTTCTGTGTAGTATGCAGGGTCGAGTTTTTTTTTCATTTTAACGTGTCCCAGGGCACGTTTATAAATGTTACTTCTTTATTTTGGTGAATCCAAAGTGAGTTTTTTACATGGACGTTGCTTCTACTAGGGCTGTACCAATGTTTCGGAAACAGCCCTAGTAGGTTTGCGATCTGTCTTGCTATCTGTCTTGCTATCTGCGGCAGCCGGCGGCAACGACCAGTCTCATCACTCGCTGCAACGGCCACACCTTCCCCATGCACCCCAAGCGTGAGACTATGGAAGACGGATAGAGGTCCGCGCTCCGATCGGAGTTAGAAACGACGGAAGTCGAGCCTTCGCCGGATCGCAGCGAGAAAAGGTTGAATCCTACGAATAATATAATATACTATAATATATTATATTGTAGTATACGCGAACAGGAGTTCATGTCTCATTGATGCACATCATCATGATGCACATCTCAGACATCAGCACGTCATCATGATGCACATCTCAGACATCAGCACATCATGCAACCAAATTTCGACGGTAAGTAATCCCAAACGGCAAACATCTGTTTCCCGTTTCCCACTTCGCGACTCCGCTCGCGAATCGCTGTTGGTTAATTACATAATCACCAGAGGTAATTAGTTAATCAACCCGCTGTGCGATTCAGAGATAGGATCGTTTCTCTTTCCGGATTATTTTCAGAACGGTGACAGCCGGAAGAGAGAGAGAAAAAGAATCATCAGAAGCCGCCGTCCTTTTCCCACGGTGTCCACACTGCGAATAATTTCCAGCCAACAAACCGCGGAAGGCGGCAATGGACACGGCCGACATGGCTCCCCAAAATAATTTATTTAAAGCTTCGTCTTCATGTATCGCTTGCACGATGCGCGCGCCGTTTCCCCGCTTTTTCAGGCGCAGGCGAGCATCTATCGCAGTCGCAGATGAGATAAGCCATCAAGAGAACGAGGAGAAAAAAAAACTTCTTGGTCGAGAAGTCTATTCGCGTTGCGGCTCTCGAGTCGCCCTCATCGCTGTCGCAACAGTCGCAACGTGACACGAGTTGCTTGTTGACTTCATGCGCAGTTGGCGGTGTATTTTTTTTACGGACCCTGTGATATCTTGCTTTTATTTAATATTTTCTTCTCATAGATTTTATTTTTACATTTTCCTTTGAAGCCTTATCTATCCGCTCGACGGGACTCGAAAGTCGGAATTCTCCCCGCCAGAAGCCACCGCCCAACATCCGCAGAAGCCCTCCCGCGTCCTCCCGACATCCCGATTCCCCGAGACGCCCTCTGAACCGTCTCGCCCGCCGAACCGTCTCGATGGCCCTATGGGAGGCGATCCAGCGACTTCCGCACGAGACCTTCCTCCAGGTCCAGGCCCTCTACCTGGACCACTTCCCCATCGAAGTCCGCCACTACCTCGCCCACTGGATCGAGGAGCAGAATTGGTGAGAAACGTTTGCAATTTTTTTAAATGAATTTTTAGGAATTTAGGAAGAAAATTTGAGGAAATGTATTTCTCTCAGAAAACGCAAAAAAAAATCAGGTTGAACAGAAAAACTCAACTCGAATTTGCGCTTAGGCAGCTGGTAAAAACTCCAGTCAAGCGACCCTAAAGTTTCGAACGATCGCCTGAAATCCCCGGACGGAATGCCCCCCACCGCTTCACAAGGGAATCCAAGGCCACTCCCCGGTTTACCATGGGACGGCGGCGGCGATCGAGCGCAGAGACTCGAGGCACGGCGACGGCGGTGATTCACGCCTCTCGAGCTCTCGAGAGGCATGAAGCCCCATCGAATATATCTCTAAGCAATGACGATCGGTCTGTCTTTGGCCTTTCAAGTTTTTTTTAAAATTATTTGCGACTTCGCATGAAATTTTTTCATCGTGTAACAGGCCACGAAAGCTAGTAGCACAAAATTTCAGCCCACAAATATTTCGACCCACAATTTCCAAAATCCGACTGAAATTAAGCTGGGCTTTCTGATGATACCCAAAACTTAAAAATCGCACGAGCAGTACTTACAGCAACAGCCATCGAAGTTTGGACGGAATTTTTCACCCACATTAATTTGAGCTTATGATTTGCTAATAATTTGCTAATAATTTCCCATCGGTCATGGCCGGTATGCCTACATCTTACCAGGTCGCCTTTATCGATTTTTTTAGTATTAATTTATTAAGTCATGCATTCCCTCCGAGAACTGCCACACGCATCATTACACAACTGTGCACATGGTGTTCCGTAAGTCACTATTCCAAACTTCAATATTTTCCGAACTGCAACATGCAGGTCACCACTGTCAGCATTGACGAACGACGAACTATAGAACCTATAGGGTTCCCTATGGGACCTATAAGGTTCCCTTTAGAACCAATAGGTCACCCTTTAGAAGCTATAGGTCTCCCTTTAAAGCCTATAGGACCAATAAGGTTCTCTATAGGGCCTATATGGAACCCTATAGGGTCTATAGGGTTCCGTTTGAAGTTCTCCTCTTGGCCACTAGATGGAGGTATAGGGTTCTCGCATTTCTCAAAGTACACAAAAGTGCCCTCCCCTTACCCATGGAATCTTCTCTCACAGGAGAGTTTTGTACGTCCCCAAATGTCTCGCCTTGCCTCATTGTAGCAATCAATAAACTTGGACACTTCCTCATTCGTCATCCACATCTTCCAGATAGAATCATGGAGTCCTGGTCAGAAATATGCTCATATTCCCTTTGAAAACCACGTATGAGTAAAGCTACCTCTAACATTTCGTGGCTAAGCACTTTACGTAATGGATGACTTTATTCAATATCCTTCTTAAGCATTGCATTTAACCGAAGTGGACTGCTCAAATCTAAGGGAGGGTTCCACATCATTTATGTCTTACCAGAGTTGATAAGAGGACTAGTGTATAACATGAGTTGCACTTTCATACAAGTGCCGAATCTCTCCCAAAGAAGGGCACTTGTTTCCGAAAGAGTTCTTCGCCAGATAATCAACCCAAACAAATCATAAACGATGAGAATGCAATTTGCGCTTAATAGCCACAAAACGGCTCCGCTAATCCACGAGTAGTCACAGCGTGCTGCAAATGCTGTTAATTACGAATTGCCAGCATTTCATAGATGTCGATTCTTCATCGGATTCTCAACGTGAATCAAGTGTCAACGTTTCAACCTTTTCTCAACGTTGACACAACGTGACCGACCGCCACGACTCGTAAAACCTCAAATCTGTGTTGGTTCACAGTACTTTTCACAGTACTTTTCACAGTATTTGTGAAAATACTGTGAAACTGTGCTCAAACTGTGCTGTGTGAGTGACTGCATGGAAGTCTCACGTGTTTCTGCAAGTAGGACATTTTGGACGGTTGTGCTTGCTATGAGAGCAAGGTTTTCACATTTTGTGACGCAACCAGACGATGGTCAGATGGCACAAGAAAGCGATGCCTTTGGGAAATTCCCAGGTGCGATTCGTGTGATCGCCGGTATTCAGTTAATGAGCTTAATGTCTTCGATCGCAAGGGATCGCAGTATCAAAGTAGAAGCTCTGGTTTCTGTCTTGAAGAAAATGGCTTTGGCATTCGTCAACGAATGCGACATAATGGAGCACATAGTGGAGCACATGGTGAAGGCAATATTTGGGCAGGAGAAAATGAGGCTCCATTGCCGACATTCAGAGCCCTGTGCGACTCAGCTTGGGCAAGCACCAACAACATTGCACGTGTTGTCCATCGCAAATGGTCTGGGGACTTCGTGACTATTTGAATGTCTTCATGGATGAACAACCGAATGAAGATGGAAATGCATACCAAGACCGTTCGACACGGGCATGCACCCATCCCAAAGTCATTTGCTCTTGCAGGCTGATATTCGCTTTTCGTTTGAAGGCTGGCATGCCGACACGGAAGGACGATGGCCGTTCCAGGATGTAACGCCCCGTACGAAAATGTCTGATAGGATTCCTATATATTCATTTTGGAATATATAGGAATCCTATGAGAATCCTATAGGAACGTAAAAGAATCCTATAGGTTCCTATGTGCCCCATAGAGTTCAGTTTGGGACCTATAGGGTTCCCTATAGGGTCTATAGGGTCTATAGGGTTCCCTATAGTGCCTATACGGAACCCTATAGGCCTATAGGGTTCCGTTTGAAGTTCTCCTCCAGGCCACTAGATGGAAGTATTGGGTTCTCACATTTCTCAAAGGGCACAAAAGTACCCTCCCCTTACCCAAGGAATNTCAGAAAACGCAAAAAAAAATCAGGTTGAACAGAAAAACTCAACTCGAATTTGCGCTTAGGCAGCTGGTAAAAACTCCAGTCAAGCGACCCTAAAGTTTCGAACGATCGCCTGAAATCCCCGGACGGAATGCCCCCCACCGCTTCACAAGGGAATCCAAGGCCACGCCCGGTTTGCCATGGGACGGCGGCGGCGATCGAGCGCAGAGACTCGAGGCACGGCGACCGCGGTGATTCACGCCTCTCGAGCTCTCGAGAGGCATGAAGCCCCATCGAATATATCTCTAAGCAATGACGATCGGTCTGTCTTTGGCCTTTCAAGTTTTTTGAAAATTATTTACGACTTCGCATGAAATTTTTTCATCATGTAACAGGCCACGAAAGCTAGTAGCACAAAATTACAGCCCACAAATATTTCGACCCACAATTTCCAAAATCCGACTGAAATTAAGCTGGGCTTTCAGATGATACCCAAAGGCTTAAAAATCGCACGAGCAGTACTTACAGCAACAGCCATCGAAGTTTGGACGGAATTTTTCACCCACATTAATTTGAGCTTATGATTTGCTAATAATTTGCTAATAATTTCCCATCGGTCATGGCCGTCAACAGTTCCTTCTTTGTCATCCCCATCTTCCAGATAGAATCATTGAGTCCCGTGAAGAATTATGCCCTTATTCCTTTTGAAAACCACGTACGAAAATGAATAGAGTCCATGCAAATGGAGTTTCAGTATAAGAGACGTGCTCGTAGGTTCTGTCTTATATTTCCTTATGTCGAGAGAAGAATACTACTTCTCTCTACCAAGGAAGTATACGTGCAATCCAGCGACATCGGGGTCACAAATTATGCAAACCCCCGCAGTACTGGTATTAATAATGCGTGTCCCCCCCTACCATGGAAAAACCCCTAATCCGTTTTTGACTTATACCGAAATGCTGCGCCAATATTAACCTCGGTCGCCTTTTCCATCGTAATGCCTGGGTTTCGAAACCCAAAATATCCTCCCCGAATCCTATAGGTCAGGAGACCTATAAGACCCTATAGGGATCCTATAGGCTTTTCGTGTTTCAAAAACCTATAGGAAANCGCCTTTTCCATCGTAATGCCTGGGTTTCGAAACCCAAAATATCCTCCCCGAATCCTATAGGTCAGGAGACCTATAAGACCCTATAGGGATCCTATAGGCTTTTCGTGTTTCAAAAACCTATAGGAAAGTCTATAGGTTTCCTATAGGACATTTCCGTAAGGGGCTTACTCGGCCTCCCTTAGCCAAGCTTTAGTCAAGTCTCGGCGTTCGAGTTTAAGAATTTTGAGGCACTTTCGAAACTCAGAATCGCCTCCGTTTTTTGACAGTTTCCCAATAACATGGTTTCGCTCGGTTTCTATTTTTTATGTGCCAATTTTTTTTTTCGTGGATGTGGCTTTTTTGAAATGGCATAGTGACTTACGGGACACCCTGTATGCCAACACTCCCTTCCCGAAGGTCGGAGGTCGGCCCGGACGGTCCGGGACAGGAGATGGCGAGCGCCCTGGTGAGCGCCCTCATCCGGGAGCTGCAGCGGGTGCACGCGGCGATGGACAGCGCCCACTTCGTCGCGAGGAATAACCTCGCGGAAGCCATCAACGACTTCTCCGTGAGCGAGATTTTCGCTGAGCTTTAAAAAGACTTGGAGAAATAAATTTAATAAATATAGCAAAAGCAAAAATTCATTTAAATTAGAAGTTTAGATATAATTTAAAAGTTTTACCTGTAAATTTTTTAAGTTTTAAGATCAGTGCAAACTAAATCGCTATCAGTAAACAAAATCAATTAGCCTTAATGAAATCATCATTCATGCCCTTTCTTCCATATTGTGCACCATTTTGCTTTAAAATGCAATTTTATGGGAAAACGTTAAATCAAGCTGTAAAAATAAAAAATCAATTCCGAGCGTTTCCTTCGCTTCGCAACAGAGATATCAGCGGTGTCCGACGGCCCTGGTCCAAACGATGCAGCACTGCTTGCGACAGGAGCTGCAACTCGTTCAGCAATCTCAACAGGTGAGGCGAAAAAATTTTTCCGGCGGCCCAAAATTGTTCCCGAATTGCGGAGGAAACAGGACGTCGACAAAGAAATCGCTGAATTCACATACAGGGTCATTGTAATGCCACTTTTCAGGCAGGGAATATAATCCTTATTGGCCCCTGAGCATCTCTGCAAATATCAGCTGCGTCTGAGAGCCCGTTCAAAAGATACGGTCAAAGTTGGATGGTGAATTGCAACCATCCGACTAACTTTGGACTTTTAAAGGAATTGTCTGATGCGGTCGATGTTTGACAGAGGCGCTCATGGACCCAAAACTCATTCGTTCCCATGTTCGTCATGTGACTGTACGTGTCGATAGGGGGCGCTGTGGTCGCATGAGCAAGGGGAAGAAATGGAGAAGAGGCATAGACTAAAAAAAAAAAAATGAAATATGTGCAGCATTCCCACCACTACAGGTTAGACGGTGACGCTTCCAGTGCAGAAGCGTGTCACGTTGATTCGTTTTTCGCTTCAAAATGGAAACCCAAACAGAGCCGCCCATGCTCCTTTGCTCTCATTCACATGAAGATCTCTGTCTAATATCAACTGCATCAGACCAATCCTTTAAAAGTTGTGACCAAACAGAGTGGGATGGTTATGTCGTGTGGAGGGCCTCAAAAAGTGGACTTTTAACGTCAACTTTAAGCCGAAAGCAAGAGAAAGACAATTTAGCACGAGCGGTTAACTTTAATTTAATCGGAGGCAAAAGAAAGGGGTCCTGGCCTCACTCCACAGACAGGGCAAGCCGTCTAAGGAGACGACGGATGACAAATAGTAAAACGGTGTTCAAACAACAAGGACAACAAATATTTCATCAAAGTTAAATTACGAAAGTAAATAAGTATCACAGATGATGTTTGAGTTTCGGATCGAAGGGAAGGAGGTGGTGTTGAAAGTCCAAGCCGTTACGGATTCCCGATAGAAGTGCAGGCGAGGTTCTCACAAGAGGCTCAAAAGGTTCGCCAGGCGGAAGCAGCACCGCACTTGTAGGTTAAACGAACCGCCCAGACTCCCAGCGGAACCCGCACAGCCGTTCAAGATGCTAGACCAAAGGAGGCCAACACAACCGGAGGCGCACGACGAAGCATGCCAGCGCGACCGGAAGAGGGAGGTCACCAGAAAAACAATGGAGGGCTATGCGGGCCCAACCCTGACATGGGCAGAACCCATGCCGGGCCGCGAACAAAATAATGTCCCGCGGGAGCCACAAAGCTCTATTAAGGTTATATTCCAAATTTAATAATCTTACTCATACGACAGTTACAATTCACCATCCAAATTTGACCGTATCTTTTGAATGGGCTCTCGGATACAGCTGATATTTGCAGAGAGGCTCAGGGGCCAATAAAGATTATTTTTCCTGCCGGAAAAGTAGCATTACACGTAGATAGCCGGCGCTGCTCCCGATTACAGCGCCCTCTATCGGGATGTAGCGCGATCTCGCGGTATGAGAAAAATCCTCCTCGACTCGTGAATCTCTGTCGAATATCAGCTGAATCCGATTGTCCTTTAAGAAGTTATGACCAATCAAAATAGGGTCGTGATTGACCCTATTTGTAAACTGGCAGGTGAAGGTAAACACGATTTGATGAGAAAAATCGTGGAAAGCCAATGGAAACAAATGGGGACAAAAATGAATTGAGAGGGCCCTGACGAAATTCCAGCTGAGACACCAAAGTCGTCGGCTATTTTTAGGGAAAGGTAAAAAGTGATAAAAGAACGGTAAAAGGTAGATTAAGGTAAAATTGGAGATTCATTTTTTTCCAAAGTACCTAAAGTTGTCCACTGCAGCGAAGTAATGCCCAGTGCAGCAAACAAAAGCTACGGCTGTACCGATGGCAGATTATGATCTCAACAGAAACAGCGAAGAACCATTGTATCAAATATTCATTTAAAATGTTCTCAAGATTTTGCCAATTACATCTTATATGAATATACGAATGTTTTTCACATCGGTTTTAATAAAATAATACTAATAATTGGAAAATTATTAGCATTATTGTATTGGAACCAATAGGAGTCTCGTGTAAGTTGGCTGAGGGAACCAGATCAGGACAGTTCAGTACCTGATACAACATCAGTGCTTTCGAATCCCGATGACGCTTGAGAAGATAATGTCGTCAGCGGCTGAGCAAATAGTTCTTTTCAAGGGTACTTCATCAGGAACCGGCGGATTCAGTCCTTTCCTGTTGGGATGGGGGGTTAACCTCCATGAAGAATATGACATCCATGAATGGGCGTAAATGACATCCATGAATGGGTATTTAATTTTTCTTTGTTTTCCACGTTCTTCTTTGGGCATTGGCTCCGGCAGCTCGCGAGCCTGCCGATGGTGCCATACCGGCGGCCGATATCGGCGATTGCCGATATCGGTCGAAAAAAAGGCTAAAACGAGTGTGACGCTACCGACAACGTCACCGACAATTTTAGCTCAGCAGTCAGAGAGCGATTAGATAGCAGATGCAACAAGCGAACACCGCAGAAAAAAACTCGTCCAGGGGTGGAACGAAGAGGACGATCATCGAGCGATTCGCGATCTTCAGCGATTTTTCCACAGATTACGGTCATTTCACTCGGTTGTTATGAAAATGATGCCTCTCATTCGGTTTCACTTAGTGAGGTGGAGATATGAAGAAATCGAATTCCTTAAAGAAATTCCCCTCGACTCTGTGGACATCAATTGGGGCGGGGGGGGGGGGGGGGGGGGGGGGGGAGGGGGGAAGGATGGGGTGGGGGGGGGGGGGGGGGGGGGGGGGGGTTATGAAAGGGTTAAGCACTGACATATGTCAAATACAAGAAAATACATTTGATATATGTCTGCTCCTAACCTTTTCAATGCGAATTTTTTTTCCTTAAAAATGTTCTCGGTTATTTCCTCATGAAGCATTTTCCTCACCAAGGCTCATACGTACCTAGATATTGCAACAAAAAAATTATATCAGATGTAATCACAACAAATTGAGTGCTACTTTGAAGTTTGCATAAAATTGTTATGAAGGTTTCTGGGAAAATTAGCAAAATCTTTGTAGTCTTCATCCCCAATTCGCAAAAGGATCAAGTTTGCATTAAATCCAGCAAGATAAAATAAAAGTGCAGTCCAACGACTGACGAGCGCTATCATGCATCAGGATGATGTGCCCGGCCTCGTTTCATTGTAGGAAATGTCTTGATTTCTGCCTGAAGTTATGAATTGCCTTATCGGGGAGTAGGGGAAGGCGGATCGTAAAATGCACTAAAAATAATGCTCGTAAAATGTGTTACGTTACGGGGATTTTTGCACTGTTCCGCAGCGTTTAAAATTTTTCCTACTGCAACATCAACTGTAAGATCAGCTGCAGCAGTCGCCATTCGCGCGCCTTTGAATCTGTCCGATCCCAGAGGAGTTGTAAAAGACTGCAATCTCGATCTCCTGGCCTTCATTCGGAACACGCGAAAAATATCCTGGTTTTTCGCAAAATCCCTCAGCGACTTTCAGCACGTCATCAGCCTAAAAATCCACCAGACAAGGATTCAGTCTGATCCGGATGGATTAAGTCGTCCTATTCGGCCTCGCCAGTTCCCTTAAGCCTTATCCTCAGCTCGGAGCACCGGCGAGAGAGGCCAACCGGCGACGTCCCCATCCGACCCAAGTGCCTTCGTGGTTTTAAAAAATGCCTGGTCTGTTGAAATTCAGGAAGGAGACCCCATTCTGTGGGTGAAATGTCAGAGTTTGAACAATTTACAGGTAGATTTGAAGCATTTATGCGAAGATATGAAGAATTTACGGGTCGATGTGAAGAATTTATGGATATGTTTGAAGAATTTATGGATATGTTTGAAGAATTTATGGATATGTTTGAAGAATTTATGGATATGTTTGAAGAATTTATGGATATGTTTGAAAAGCGTCAGGGTGAATTTGAAGGCTTTGAGGAACTGAGCCTCAAATCCCACGTCTGTGAACATCATCAGTCAGGGAGCATTCAACAAAGCCACCGCTTCGGTTCGATCACATGTACCTGAAAATGTTCATGGACCGGCATTTCTGTCAATCCCTGCTCAATCTCGAGTTAATCCCATTCATAATCTTGCAGATTATGATATGAGGATGTGATTAACCTGGGATCAAGTGCATTTTCTCCCCATTAGCGAGAGACATTTCATTACCTCAGTCATTGAAAACGTTGTGCAAATACTTGATTTTCTTTAATTTCATAATTAACAATTTAACAATCATCTCTTCTTTAACAATCATGCTCTGGGTCAAGAGAACCGAAATCCCCCAATTTCGGTGGCAATCTCACTTCACGCCAGATCTGGAAATCCGGAACGGGTTGAGTAACATACACAGTCTTGAAGGTCTTGATCCAAGGAGGCTGTTGGTCTATAGTTTACTCTGTTTTGAGCAGTCCTTCCTACCTTTCTGCCCACTGGATGTCTTACCACTGGATTCATGCCTATCGACAGCTATTGGACTGGCTGCGCTTTGGCCTTTCGACTTTCAAGGAGCTCTGGGCCAATCTGCACAGCTTCCGAGGTAGTTAGCTACTCATCCATCCCTACCGAGATGGCGAATCTTCATTAGGCCAAACATGGCATATCATCGGCAAAGTTTTTGGGCCAACCTTGGTAACCAAGAATGGTCCAATCCCGAAATGTCTCATCGGCCAGAGGAAGGCCAATCAATTTAGCCATGAATGGCCTAATATTGGCCACGTTTTTGGGCCTCCCTTGGCTGCCAAGAATGGCTCAGGATTTTTTCTTCATATCACACCTGCCAAATATTGGCCAATGAAACTTTCCTTCAAGAATAGTACTCAATGTACATGTTTTAGTACATCAGAGCGAAGTCACCCCTTAAATGTACCACATGCGGTACACTAGTGGTGATGCTCCACTCTCCTGTTCTAAAAAGTATGCACGAATTCAAACCATGATCCCCATCCCATTGTCCGGACAAGGTGGAGGTGGTTTGAGTTCGCAGCTGTTCTGAAGGGTTCCGAGGCTTCAGTCGGATGAAAATACACTGCCTCAGTGAAGGGTTATTACAAGGAATATTAGCTTCTTTAATTCCTGGACTCCATGAATCTGTCTCCAATATGGAGATAATAAATGAAGAAACGGCAATATTGCTTCGCCAATGTTGTCAATGTTTTCGCAATGTCTTCCCGACGTTCCCCTACCATCATCGATCCCATATCGAAAAGATGGGGCGATTCAATGTGCCCTAGTTGCTCTTGAAAGTCTCAGAAAATGAAGTTCTCCTCTATGCCAGAAGATGGCAGTATAGTTCTCGCTTTCCGCACGGTACAGAAAAGTGCCCTTCTATCTTTCTCTAGATTCGTTCCTCATGACAGTACTTAGTACCTCACCATGTGTTTCGTTATGTTTCATAAAAGCAATCAATCAAAGCCGCCGTTTCTTCATTTACTATCTACATTTTCGATTCATGGAGCCCTGGAATACAGCAAGTTAATATTCCCTATTAGAACCCTTTACTATGAGATAGTCCTTTCATGCGACATCTGAAGCCGATAATGATATTCTAATGACCGCGAAGTGAAAACGTTCTCCCCCTCTCCAGACAATGGGATGGACTTGCAGTTTGACTACGTGTTTACTAAAAAGAAGAGAGTGGAGTATCACCAATTAGTGTATCACATATGGTATTGATACATTTAGCACATCTGATGAACTATAACATGTACAGTAAGTGGCTTTTTTATTTTAAATTGAATGACCGATATCTAGCAGGTGTGATACATATACCATGGCGCATTTTTGGCAGGCAAGTGAGGTCCAAATGTTTATCCGATATTGGGCCATTCATGCCAAAATTAATTGACCATTTTTCTGCCCGATGAGACATTTCTGAATTGGACTAGTGTTGGCTACCAAGGTTGGCCCATGCACTTTGCCGATGACATGCCATGCTTGGCCCAATGAAGATCGGCTCTCTGGGGTGGTAAACTTGACTCAGAGAACGATGGCTAAAATTAATTCATTAATTTCATGAAAGCATCCTAATCCACACCATGCACGTTTACAAGTTTTTCAACTTCGCTCAGACTGTAGATTTCGAAATTTTATGCTCGAGGAACACACCCTCAAATTGCCCATCATGGAAATTTTTCTTGGATTTGATAAGCAATAGAAGGTCCATGAAGATCAGAAAGTGTTGCAGCTTAGGGAGCCGGGGAGAATAGGTCCTCGCGAGAACTTCCGTTCTGCTTCCACTCAAAGAAGTCCAATTTCACCTAGCGTCAATGAAACAAGACGAGCCTTGCACTAGCAACAGGCCCATTCGATCAATAAGAGAACTTGAACAATTTCCGCTAATTTATTAGGGGAAAAGTAAAAAGAAAATTTACGGAGTGACCGGCGTATTTAAAATGATCAGTTGCATGAGGAAAGAAAAATGAATATTTTCCCCTGAAAAGAATGTGCTCCCCTCTAGAATGGTGCAACTGATCCAGGATTCTGGGACCCTGATCACATGACCGACATCCTTGAGATGCAGAACAACCTGCGACAGATGAAGGAGGTCGACCTCCGTCACTTGGAAGAAGAGCAGGAGAACTTCCACATTCAATACAACAAGTATGAAAATATTAACAGTAAGTCCGGGTCTGACTCTCCAGTGGTCGTGATTGATCTCCATCAGCTGAGTCTTCGGGTCTTCTCTCGTCAGGGGCGCTGAATTCCCTTCAAGGTCGTGAGGGGCAGCAAGGGGTGGAAGCAAAGGTCCTTTTGCTTCAAAACCAGAATGCAGAGATGCAGCAAAACCTTAAGATGAAAGTGAGGTTCCTCATCTAGGGTCCATTAAGTGCCTCTGCGCAGTCCCCTAACACCTGGCTGAATGCTCCTTGAAGTTTGCTGCCATTGAGGAGACCCGCAAAGCGTATTGGCAGAAGCAGCTGACCAACTTCCAGCGCTTGCAGGCCCTGCAGGAGGTGGTGGAGAGTGAATTGGTCATGTATAAGAGGGAGCAGCAGCTCGCCGGGAACGGAACTCCAATTACTCGCAGTTTGGATAAAATTCAGTCTTGGTGAGTGAGAGGTAATTCAATAATCTTATCGTAATTCTTTTTCTGTCAAGTCCTGTTTGCCATCCATGAAATAAGAAGACTCAAAGTTGCATGTCAGCGTCAACAGAATTATGTCAGTGGTGCAAATTTTGTTCCACTTTTCCTCAGGCAACCAAACTCAGGAATTAAGGCCGCGCAGTACCCTCCCTGAAAAAAGAGCTAGGGCCTCGGCGTATCATTGCTGTCGTTTTGTGTCTCCCTGCCCATCAGACTCGCCGTCTCTTGCGCCAAGGGCGAGGGCGAGGCACGCGAGTTCCAAGAAGCCCACCCTCACTCCTTTCCTTTTCCATTCATAACTCAAGACCAGTGGCAATGCTACAAACCAATTTTAGGCTTAGGATAACGTGTTTTGACCTTACATATTTGATGATCGATCGTTGCAACTTAGCAATGATCCATCATCCAATTAGAATTAGCATTATTAAGTTTTCATTAAACGTGACAAACAGAACATGTGGCTTATAGTTACCAAATGCATTGTTCCTATTTGGAAGCTCTCTTCATGCTGACCCTTTCTTAGGTGATCGGGACAAATCTGCCATTAATATTTTTGGAGGTGCAAGCAAACCACTTTGACGGACTTGTATGCCGCAAACTACCATGAAAACGCGCCAAATTAAAAAAAATCCGCTTGTAAATCCACAACAGTAGTGACCATCTCTGAGGAATATCCTTGGGATTTTATTGAACAATCGATATTGACATTTTCAAGACACAGCGGTCAAGTATTTGCTAGTACTTGATGCAGTACTTATAAGTACCATCATAGGAAGCAGTTCAATGAGTGTTACTTACCAGATATATGCGTATCGGAGCAAGCGTTGAGGAATCCGAGAGCGTTTTTTTGCCAGCCAGCACGAATCAAAAGGTACTGCGTCCCCTTAAAACGTCAATGTAAAGTTATATCAGTCTTAATGCTGGCAGATCTCCCACGAGCAAGACAGTGTGGCACTCGATCTTTTTTACTTCTGAAAGCTAGATGTGAAATTAGGATATTCATGAACACCATGTTTGCAATTATACAGTAACTGACATAAACATCATCAAATCTAATTGATATTGAATCTCGAATTCTGAACATTCATGCTGAGCATAGGATTGTAGCCTCAAATTCGCCTCCCCCCTTCCTACCCACATCTTATCAAGGGGTTTCCCAATGTGACGCTGACGTCAATGTGATGCCAATATGACGTCACGTTACGTCCATGTTGGTTGACTCAATATTGACTCTTCACACGCACCCAGGATTATAGCAGTTTTTCCTACCTACAACGAACAAGTTCTTCTATATTCCATCTGGCACAGTCCACCTTTCCAGCACAGCCAGAATTTTGCGATGTATCAATATTGGGAAATACTGTATATCTATGAAAGGTCTTTATCGTTGAATAAAAGAGGATTTCCAATCCGAATCATGGAAAAAAATGTCCAGGTTTGAAAGATTGTTCGAAAGCATCTGGGAGATGCGGCAGCAGATCACTACATTCCAACGGCTGCGAGAGAGCTCTAAGTTTCAGTTCAACGACCAAGTCATCCAGGTTGACTCGCTGGCATCGGAAGTCACCAAGCTGCTCTCCACCCTCATCACCAAGTGAGAACATCCAGGCTCTGTCAGCATGCAGTCCCTTCATGGAGCCTCAGTCACATGCATTGCTCATGTCTCCAACTTTTCAGGGCGTTTGTGATTGAGAATCAGCCGCCGCAAGTGGTGAAAACATGCACCAAGTTCGCAGCCTCGGTCCGCTTGCTGGTCGGGGGGAAGCTCAATATTCACATGATTTCTCCTCAGGTTAGTGAGGAAACACTTCGAACCCATTACCGTTAAATGGGAGACTAGAGCATCGTCGAATGGTCTCGGTACGTAAGTATGTTGGAGACCCGAAAGAAATGTACGAGAAGTTCTATTGTTTGCAAGCTACCAGCGTTTCTCCTTCAAAATACATTATGTGAACCAATGAGTGACTGACTTCCACCATTACAATCAGAATCTGCCAAAGTCCCTATTTCACCTTCAAGAAAACCTTAAGGAATTCAAGGAGAAAGGTGTATTTCAACCCACCAAGATTTCCCTCAACCTTGTACGATACTCTTCTCATGTACTCCAGACCATCCGAACCACTATACTTCCTCGTTCCCTTTCCTCCAAATCCAGGTGACGGCGAGCATCGTCAGCGAGGCACAGGCGAGGCAACTCTACCAACGAGATAACTCCCAAACTTCCCGCATCCACACCTGCGGAGAGATCCTCAACAATAAGGGAACCATAGAGTACCACCCGAGTAGCCGCCAGCTCATTGCCTCCTTCAGGTGAGACCTTCCCTCTCGTCTGCAGCTTTTTGAGCTTGACTGAATCGTGATTTCTATACAGATGCATGCAGCTGCCTAAGATCAAGCGAACTGAGAAGAAGGGAAACGAATGTGTGGTGATGGACAAGAAGTTCGCTCTCCTCTTCCAGACATCCTTCAAAATCGCTGGAGAGGTCCCTGTAGAGGTCAGTTGAAGTCACTGGTTGTGTTTCTTTAGGGGCTTTTCGCATAGTGTACTTTGACAAAAGATAAATGGAATCCTCAAGATCCGTCTTGAACTCCAAACTTTCTATAACCTGACAAGATGGTGAAAACACGATTGAGGCATTCCAGCTCAAGTGGTAAAATTTTGGGTAATTCGGTTGTGCGTCCGGCAGGGATTTGGTTGAGAAAATTCATTCTTGATTATCTCTCTGAGTTATGAAAAACCCAAATGTAAGCCCTTCATCACAAATGGTTCCCAAGATATTCAGCCCCAAAGTTAGCTACCTAGTGTAAAAGTGATTCGACTTCAAATTGATCAAGGATTATTTCGACTTTCAGCTCCATTAAGTGTTCATGTCATTCTGGCATTTCTTATCAGCTCGTTCCTAGTCTGAAACTGTTACAGAAGAAATGGAATTTCAGAGATGGTCCAATTTCACATTTTCATTCGCTGATCCCTGAAACCCAGTGTGATGAATTAATTAAAACTGTTCATGGCCTCTGTTGAGGTATACCTCGCCCTGGTTTTGTCACCAGGATTCCATTTGTTGGGAATTTCGTGCATTATTTCAAGAGAAAAATGAGGAGTTCTAAGCCTCAAAAAATCCCCAAATCTCGACATTCCAAAGTAACAGCATGAATTATACATCCACCGAAAGAGCATGTGAGGAAATTCCATTTTGCAAAAGTTTTGAGTTTTTATCTTTTTGAAATAGGAAGTTTATGCTGTCAAAGTGAGTGAAAAATGGCAAAATAAGACTGTTCGTATTTAATTTCCCATTGTTCCAAACCAAGCAAGTTGTTTAAGCTCAGTTATTTCCATTGTTGTTGGCTAGTATTGCAATGTTGCAAAAGCTCATTGTGTTCCATCGATTCCCATTGTTTGAAAATATCATGTAGATTTTGGAATGTTCGCGCAATGGTATATCCATTGGTATATATGGTAAATCCATTGATTGTTTGCAACAGAACCAAGGAACATTGCAATAGTGAAATCTGATTCAGCGTTGTCTTACCTTTTATTTCAGCTCCAAAGCTATTTTTCAACTCAATCAGGGCCTAAGATTGCCTTTTGAACCGTGGGGTCACTTTTCCCCAGGGAAGCCAACTTTGTGGTTGAATATCTAGGGAATCGTTTGTGCTAGAGCGATGATAATTTCTGTTTTTTTTTCATAACTTTTTCATTTCAGAGGTAATTTTGCATGAATTTTCTCAACAAAATCCCTGTCGGACGCCGCAACCACCATTTGATCCCTTCAGCTGGAATACCTCCGTGGCTACTTCGTCTCTAGGAGGGATTCGAGGAATTTATACCCCTAAATTGACCCCTAAATTAAATTGAGACGTGGTAGCGTCCATCACATATTAGCATGAAACTCCTACCAACAAGATGAAGAATTGTCTTAAGGCGGGCTTTCTGAACTTATATTTCTGCTTCTTACCTGGCATGGATACGTAGTTTATTATATCTCATAAATGTCGACCAAGCTCAGTCGCCACAGCTCATTGTGATAAAACAATTGGTGTCTCTAATCGCCTAAAAATCTGAAGAACTGTTCCTCGTGCGATGGAAGCAAACAAAGGGGTCCCAGATGTTCCGCTTGGAAGCAGTCGATTTTTCCTTGGCAGCTGTGATCTCATGTGTCAGGGTAAGTTCTGATGAACCCCAGGGATAGCAGATTGCATTTGAAGAATGCTTCGAAGGAGGAATTTTCAGGCTTTCCTATAAGTTATCGTTTGGATTGTCGAACCTATGCGGAAGGTGCGAGAAGCAAATCTAATGCAAATATTTACTTAAATATCCAATAAATAACCAATCTTTACTTAAATTTGCCATATCTCCATTACGAAATGTCCTCACCGTATCCATGGTATACTGAAGAAACCGAGGTGAGGTACGAACGTTGCAGTGCGGGCAGGGCAGATTTTCACCGCGAGCGGGAAATCCCTGTGACGCATCGTACTCCATCTAGGGAAACGAATTTGAAACATTTGCCTGAGGATATATATGACCCTAAAGGCATGCACAGAACTGGTGGCAATGTGGGGTAACTGGGAGTAGTTTTTCTTGAAAGCCCATCAAGTTTGATTGACTGCTCGAAGGGAGCAGTCTCTTCTTCTGAGGTGTATAATTGATTAGACTTCAATTAATGAGGACAGAAATATGCTTTGACGCACTAATATTTCAATTTTTTATTATATGGAAACCATCGATATTTTTTACTATTGGGAATATAAAAAAAAGAGATTCGCTTAAAGCTAAGGGTCTCCAAGTTTTTTTCCCGGAAAAATTTTCCCAAATAGATATAAGCAAGGAAATGAATTAAATCTCCTTGAAAGTGACCAAAAACTATTATTCTTCGGTTTGACATTACATTCATTCGGATTTCAGTCAATAATTACCAGAGCTAAAGATGAATTGAGATTCCCTTTAGAAACTCATAGGATCCTAAATCTATTTGATTCCTCCACGGGACATATGCAACCCAAGGACATTAATCATTTGCTGCAAAATGTATTTATTACCAACTGAACCTAATTAAAACCTGCAAAATTTCCTCAGGCGTGGACGCTATCCCTCCCCATAGCCGTGATCGTCAATGTGTCCCAAGAGCCGAACGCGTGGGCCACGGTCAGCTGGGACAACGCAGTCGCCGAAGAGGGCCGCGCTCCTTTTGACGTCCCGGACCATGCCCCTTGGCCTAAGGTGGCCGAGATGCTCAATGCCAAGTTCATGTCGGCGTGCGGGCGCCCCCTCACGGAAGACAACCTGAAGGTTCTTGCTGCGAAGGCATTCGGGTATGATGCAAACCGGAGACGATTGGTCGTACTTAAACCCAATTTAAAAATTTAATTTATTGGCAAACACTACTTGAGAGGAGAGTATCTCAGTCCTGTAGGTCCCCTGGAAGCGGGAGTTCAATACTGTGATTACATTCTAGTGAATGGACAAACCCGAATTGGACTATCCCCCCACATACAAACACTCTACCGCGAGACTGAATGATCCTGTCCACTCAAATTTACCTTCTTCTGTGATCGGTCTTATTATCAAACGTTACTCGTCCTCTCTTAAAAGGGCCAAGAGAAGCCTGAGATAGGTCTAACGTTACACGACCTTGACGAGATGTTTCGAAGATCAGGGATTATTTCATATTGGCCTAATTGGTCCATAAGTCATAGATTGAATTTCTTTTGAACGAAAAATGTAGGCCTAGGTCTGACCCGATGACAGTTCGTCTGTTAGGCCTCGTCCTAACTAGTAACTTCTGTAGAGAAGGGGGAGGTGAGGTTAAGGTTGAGGTTGGGGTTTTAGAGCTTGAATTTGAAGAAATGGAAAACCTAAGAAAAATGGTTTTCACATGACCACATCAAAAAGTAGTATTATTGCATCCAGGATGGTAGAACTGCTCTTTCTGACAAATTGGTTAAGCCAATGACCTAGTTGTAAAACTTCGTATTTCCTCCCTTTAAGGAGCCATACACCACAAGACTACAACAGCCTCTCCCTGACATGGAGCCAGTTCTGCAAGGAGCCCCTACATAACCGCAGCTTTACCTTCTGGGAGTGGTTCTACCAGATCCTGAAGCTGACGCAAGGGGACCTCCGCCACCTCTGGAACGACGGGTGAGGCATGACAGCCCAGAGGTGAGCGTCCATTACTCGCCCGCTACTGAAGGTGACTCTCTTGGCGTAGGTTGATCCTGGGATTCATCGGGAGGGAGCAGACGAGGGAGGTTCTCCAGCGATGTCGGCCTGGGACGTTTCTTCTCAGATTTTCGGACTCGGAGCTCGGCGGCATCAGCATATCCACAATCACCAGTTCGTCTGGATGCAGTAAGGGACGTTTTGAACAAAGGAAAAAGGGTTTTTCACTCTGGACTGTGACTTTTTTTCTGAAAACGGAATTATCCGTCTACCGTGGAGTACTGAAATTACGAAGTGTATACCTCCGGATGGCCACGCGGCTAAGCAGGACTAATTCACCTATCCGATTATGAAAGTATTTTCAATCCCAAAGAGGTAAATAGGATGGCAACTGGTACGACAACGCATAGCTATGAAAACATTTCGTTTTCTCCATCATGATTTCGTCTTCAACTCTTGTCCATTGACAAGACAGAAGGCATGGGGCCTTTTTTATTTACTTCATGGTCATATCTACATCGAAGGCTTGATGTATCCGCCTCAGACCTCAGATCAAGTTGGACCACATAGACCTAATTTTTGTAACTTAAATCCCAGTTTAAAAGTTCCTTTATAGGATTCCCCGACGATGAGGTTTAATATCACAAGTAACCGTCATTGTCTTGCAGTTCATCATCCAGGATGACACCGTTTTTTAGGGTAACGATTTGCTCTCCAGCAAACTCTTCCTTCCTCTTCCTCTTCCTTCCTCTTCCTCTTCCTTCAAGCTGATTTTAAAAAATCGAATCTTAATTTAATCTAAACCTATATCGAAAATAAATATTGAATTAATCAATTTTCTCTTTCTAGACCTCGACTTCTATCGTACATGCATTCTTTTACTCAAATTTTTATTATTATTACATATATAGGTCTTAATTGATCTTTTTACTAATGCGCATGTTGCCACTGTAAACATTACATCAGTTTTAGAGTAGGTTTAGATTTTAGCACAGGCCAAAAACCACCCTCCAATCCACGAAAGGCCATGTTGTTCTAGGCGGGGAAGAGTGCATGGCAGTACAAAGCATCAAGCCGTGGACCCATAAAGACCTGAAGATGCGCAGCCTCCCCGACCGAATCCGCGACATCAGTCGCCTCACGCTCCTCTACAAGGACATCCCCAAGGACGTCCACAAGGACATCCCCAAGGACGTCCACAAGGACATCCACAAGGACGTCCACAAGGACGAGGTCTTCGGGAAGTACTACACCCCCGTCCAGGCGGAGTCGCCTCCGAACGGGTACATCACGCCCGTGCTCCTCACGTTCGTCCCGGAGTAAGCGTTCTCGCCACCTCCGAGGCTGCTGCATGCAAACGTGCATGCTAAATGTGCTTTGCTACTTGCAGGCTGGCTGGGCAGAGTCCTTCGAGTTCCTTCCCGACGTCATATCCACAGGGCGCCCTGACAACACCAGATGATACAGCCCGACCGATACACCCGACCGATGAGACAAGAACCGATGGAATGCTAACGTTCGACGATCAGTAAGATTGTGCCTTTATCTACATTACTTGCCTACTGTTAGAAGAACATCTCCTCGAAGAAACTGAATTTAAGGGGAAAGGGTGGGGAACCATGGGTCACGGGGCACTATGGCTCTGTTTCATCTCGTGTCGTCTGCTGCATTTCTTCCAGCCGAGGTGCCAGGAAAATGCTGTTGAAGGGAGAGTTGCCCCAGCCCAAAGTGCAAATTGTGCCACTTTTTTCTGCAGAGGACAGCTTCTTTTCGTTTTCTTTAACAGTCCACATCTCGATTTTCGCTGTTTCTTTCCTTCGATGAAAATTCTTATTAAAAAAAAATGAAATTAAATGAGGGATATTGGCAGTTTCACGTCTGCCCGAATGAGCCACAATTTCAATTTACTCCGATTAAAATCCTGATTTCATTTAGTGGCTCATGTTGGGGCCCGATGTTTCGTAGCTCAGCGTGCGTTTCCTTATAGTTGCCAACGCATATGAGGTTTTCTTTTGCAGTTTTTTTTCCCGACCTGATAACGTGCAATCGGAGGCGCAAGACCTGAATGGTTCCGCACCAGCAGATTTCCCATTCTTGGACGTATATTATTTCCCGATTGCTTTACCTACTTTTTTCAGGTGATCGAAAACAGGTGACTGACAGGTGAGGTGCACCAGTCTCCAAAATTTCTTCCTCCTGTTACGCGAAGACTCATTTGTGCGATGACTTTGGGTCAGCTGAACTTCATCTTGACGATGATTATGGGGACGACCCATGGTGCCTCATTTTTAAATACGACTTAATCGCTCGAAACTTCTTGTTTGAAAACGTTGAAACAGGGCATTGGGTAGACGATGCAAGTATTTACATGCAAGGCCTCCCATAACTTCAAAGGAAAAAAAAAAAAAACAAACAAAAAAAAAAACAAAACAAAGTTGGAGGCCCACAACAAAAATGACTCATGTGCCCCGCCCTCCCCTATCTAACAATTTTGTGTTAACGTTTTTGTTAAACGTTAAGTCGTTTTTGCCTCCTCATTGCATAAAGGGAAGTATTGATAAATACTTTCGTTATATTTGGGACTTAAGATCATTAAAGGCCTTTCAAGACATTTTTCGATGACAATTAGCCATGACTAGCGTTCGTAAATTCTGTTTTTTCATTGGAATAAGAATCGGAATCGTGTCTTCCTAGGTTCGAAGACGACCTAGATATCGACATCGACCTAGTCTTCGAAGATATTCTGCCGGACCTGACCAGAAACATGAGGGAGTTCCAGAACTTGTTCAACCTCACTGGTATCACCGGAGCGCAAGGATGATATTCAGCCGGGAAGGGCGAGGGGCGCTCGGGTCGGTCGCTCCAGTCCTGTCATTGCCGGGTCATTCGTCCACCATGTGTGTTATTCGTATTTCGTGACTTTGAAAGGATGGGTTGATTAATTTGCCAGATCGTGTGATTACTTAATGTACCTGAGTGATTAGTGTACCTGACCCATTTTGATTCATGCCCATACCCATGTGTTCGTTTAGTCATACCGTATCTTCATCATGACATTCTTTTACGTGGCTGTATACGGTGATATGTATTGATCAGGTTGATCTAGCTGGTACCAGAGCATTCATCTGAAGATTCTATGGAATCGTTGATTTTTCATCTATACTTGGATTTCACAGTCTATTCCTGTGCTTTCCTGTTTTTTTTTGCTGGAAGTTTGGGGCTTCTTTCCATGGTGATAAATTCAGCACATTTTCCACATGAACTCCTCGCATTCACTTCGCTTCGACGGAAAGGATACTTCAGCGCCTGCTCTAGAGATGCATGAGCTTTTCTCATTTGGAAGTCTTGTTCCAACGCTTCCATCTCATCCGTGAAGAAAAGCCTTGGCGCGATATTGTTCTGCATGCGTAGTGAATATAGAGAGTTTTTGGTCCATCTTCATCGAAATCTTCACGAGCTGGAATGTGTCAAGCCCAACCTTTTCCTTCTCACCGTACAGGTTCTTGAGTAGAATGTAATCGTGTTTCTGGCCCCAGAGCAATCTGTTCGCGTGCGGTCGAGAACCGGGCCCGGCGTAGGACATCACGGGAAGGATGCGGATTCGAATTTAAATTTAAAAAAGTTCAGTCTCCCAACTCGATTTTACCAAATCCTGCATAAAAGTATTTTGCTTAACTTCTTCGCAACGAATTTAGTAACGCTATGAGATATATTTCTCTGATCTCCCGGCATTCCTAATTGGACTTTAAGCATGCAGATGAATTTTCGACAGTTAAAACTTTCCCCAGAGTCGACTTTTCTTAGCTTCTTTTTGAATTCGATTCCAGACTTGCAAACTTTTGGCAAAGAAATGTGCAGGATGGACGATTTGCCTCTGTGTTTGAAAGTGCCATTGTTATATATATTTAATTGCTTGCACAGTTGTTTTTTTATTATTATTACATTGATCAATGTGCACGGAAGTATCATGCCATATTTTTAATTTGAGTGCTTTCTCAATTTCACCTTCAATCCTACTGTCCTCTAATTACCTTCATTTTCTTCAATACCTATATAATCTGGACCGTCTCTTCGTTACCCTACGGCAGAACTCTCCCATTTGAAGGGAGAAACTGAGATCCCAAATCCTCTCTTTCAAAATGTTGAACAAGTTCATGCTCCATACGCCAGAAACAAAAGCCCTCCAGGAATAAAAAAAAAATAGAACGGAGTCCTTTTTGTCCGGAGTTCCTTTCCCCCCTCACCCATGAAATCCTGCCTAGCCCACTGCTCCACAGTCTCGTCTGTCGCCCCGAGCAAGAACTCGTTCCCCTTGCCCTCCCTGAATATGCTTCCCTCACTCCTTCGAACGTGCCTCCTCGGTGTAGTTGCCCCGTCGTCTCGCACGTGTGAAGTCAAGGGCGTGAGAGAGGCTTCCAGCTGTCTCAGACGTTGTGGACGGAGGAGAGGCACCATGCTGGTCCGGTGAGTTCCAGCTCGGTTTAAGCTGGGATTAATTCCAGATTCTCTCGAGCCTCTAATGACTGCAGGATGCTGCAAGTTCCCTCTGCAGTCGCGGGACCGCATTGCTCGGCAAGCGCGGATGAAGTCGGTTTTTTATTACAAGGCAATCAGATTCGGTTCCCAAGGGACTGGCGCCTCTCATCAGCGAGAGTCACCTCTTATCAGCATCTCATCAGAGTCTCATCAGCGAGAGGACTGGACCGAAATCTCGGATCCCAGATCATAATGCTTCTCAGGATACCATCGAGCCTTGAAAAGTTTCGGCTGCCCAGTCGTCCCCAGACGGTCCCGAAAGAATAGTCGACGACAGGGACGAGGGAAACCTACGAAACTCGAATCACACGTCCGTTCTCCTTTTGAGACCGGACTTCGGTGTGATTTCGATGAGAAGGGCTGCTTGGATTTCTCATTGCGTTGAATGATATTTGAATATTTTTTATCGGAAATTACGTAACTAGGTGGGGCAGAATTTGCCTCACCAGTATCCTTTAATTACGTAATGGCTTCCAGTGACTAATGCGAACTTTCTGATAAGAATCAGTAAATGAAATCGAATGACAGACGAAAAATTATCCTGAATCATCTGCAGGTGATCCAGTATCTTGATCTAAGGGCAAGTCCGTTCAATCGCTGCAAAATTGAGCAAATTATTTCATTAACCATTACAAGTATTCCGATATTTTTCATCTTGAGCAACTGCAAAAGTCAAATTAATTTTCTATCGACGTACAAGCCGACATTTTTAGGAACAAAACTCCATCAAGTTTTTCATCCGCAGGCAAACAAATTGTCCTCTTAGAACTGAGGTTTCGAAAATGTGGGAAACAGGGAACTTCTTATTACAGCGGTGCGTGCCTCACGACGTGGTGCGTGCCTCACGACGTGGTGCGTGCCTCACGACATTTTTCTCGAGTCGTGACCCACACAGGGATTCGAAGAAGCGCTTTTATTAAGCAAACAGAATTCGCATTCCGAGCTCCGAAAGTTTTCACGGCTCTCAGCCGCTCTATGGCGTGGACGCAGTCCCTTCCCGCTGTCGTGATCGTCCATTGGAGACGGGAGGTCCACGCGTGGGCCACGGTCAGCTGGGACGACGCATTCGCGGGAGCGGGCCGCGCTCGTTTCGACGTGCGAGACCATGCCCCTTGGCCGAAGGTGGCCGAGATGCTCGATGCCAAGTTCATGTCGGCGTGCGGGCGCTCCCCCACAATCTGAGGTTTCTCGCTGTGAAGGCCTTCCAGCATGATCCAAGCCGAACCATCGCTCTTCTTAAGAGAATTGTAAATTTTCCTTTCAGTTTTCACGTACTAGGTCGTATTTTTTTTATGCATAATGCTCGAAGGTAGTTTTTTTCTTTAGGCCAGCGTAATGACTAATTCTGTCGCTTTCATTCAATGCCCAAATTTTCAGCGCGTCCATATTTTCTCCTGGAGCATTCCATCGCCGGACCACACCTACCTGTCACCGAGCTGGAGCCAGTTCTGCAAGGAGCCCCCACGAGACCGCAGCGTTACCTTCTGGTTCTACCAGATCCTATTGCTCAACCTCCGCTTCCTCTGGAAGAACCGGTTGGACGTGCCGAGAATTATCCGATTATGCTGCTTTATTTCCAGGAAACATCACGTATTTTCCCTAGAATAAACCTGCATTATCGGATAGTTCTCTGTTCCAAAATCCTTCACGAAACTGTCGCAGGTTCGCCCACACCCAGTGAGAGACGTCGCTGAACATTTACAAGGGTTTTTATTTTTTTGCCATCTGGATTGCAACTCGACATGAATCCATTTCGTCGCTGTGAGGAAAACCGATTTGTCCAGTTTTGTCTTATCTCCAGCCATCTTTGTTTTCCCCCGGTTTCCATACAGCAGAGAATTTCCAGCCAACAAGGCTGGGGCCTTTCGGAGCGGTGAGGCTCCATTGCGCCCACAGCATCGGCCGCCCGAAGCGCTGCTTTAAAAATGGATTTTCGCGGATCACACGCAGGTATCGCCTGCACGATGCACCCGCCATTTTCCCGCTTTTTTCCCAGGCGCTGGTCCCATGAGCATCTATCTCAGTCCGAAATGAGATAAGCCATCAAGGGAAGGAGAGACAAAGGTCCTGGGTCGCCTAGTGCATTCGTGCTGCGACGCGCGTTGCGACTCCCTAGTCGCCCATCGAAGTCACAACAGTCGCTCGGGGCGACTCAGATCATTGAGTGGCGATTGAGTGGTGTGTGGAATTCTGTTGTGTCTGCGACATGATACGCAACGAGATGCTTCTTGACTTCATGCGCAGTTGACAGTGTCTTTTTTTATGGACACGCGCGCCCCCCCTGTGATATCTTGTGTTTGTTTCAAACATTTTTTTTTCACATAGATTTGATTTTTTTTTTAACTAAAAACCTTATCTATCCGCCCGACAGGATTCACCAAGCGGAAGCGTTTATCTGCCAGAATTCCTATAAGTCCTCACCCCACATTCGCCCCCATCGCAGATCCTCGTGCATCCCTCCGACATCCCGATTCCCCGAGACGCCCTCTGAACTGTCTCGCGCGCGCGCCAGCCATCCGCCGACGATGGCCCTATGGGCGAAGATCGGGCAACTTCCACCCGACTCCTTGCACCAGGTCGAGGCCCTCTACCCCCCCGACCACTTCCCCATCGAAGTCCGCCACTACCTCGCCCACTGGATCGAGGAGCAGAATTGGTGAGAAACGAATCGTCTTTCCTATTTGTCATTTGTGGCCTTGAGGGATTAAACTGATTTTCTGAAATGGAAACATTGGTCCCGCGACAGTGTCCGGTGTCGGCTGAAAGTCCCATTCAGTCCCGATCGATTTCCGCTCCCCGTTTAATCGTACCTGCAGGGAATCCAGAGGCACGCCAGTTTGACGCTCGAAGGTCGAAATGATCAGACGCTGAGCGATGATTCGTGCCTCTCGACCGACTAAAAAATGGAGGCCCGATCGAACGTGCAATGAAGATCAGTCTGTCATTGGCCTTTTAAATTCTTCTAATTGATTCCTACTTCCGCGTGACTTTTTTTGATTTTGCGCGAAATTTGGGCCCTCGAATGTTTTGACCCGCGTGTGTTTAACTGAACATAACTTTTGATTCCTTGCAGATAATGTGGCACGGTTAGCAACTTTCGATTGGAATTAAATAGGGCTTTCAGATGATATCTAAAACTAAAAAATCGCATGAACAGTACTTTTAGCAACAGACACGAAAGTGTGAGTTGACTTTTTTTTTGCCTATATTAATTTGAGCTAATAATTAGCTAATAATATCCCTTCGGTCATGGCAGCCATGCCATGACCATTACGCAGCCGCGCACGTAAGCGCCCGACTCGATGGAGAAAAGCCGTCGTTATCACTCCGCGATACGTGAGGAATGCTCCCTTCCCTTCCCGAAGGTCGGAGGTCGGCCAGGACGGTCCGGGGGAGGAGAGGGCGAGCGCCCTGGTGAGCGCCCTCATCCGGGAGCTGCAGCGGGCGCAAGGGGCGATGGACGACACCCACTTCGTCGATAAGATGAAGCTAGCGGGAGCCATCACCGCGTTTGTCGTGAGCGAGATTCTCGCAGCCGACGTTCGAAGCTTAAAAAAAAAATTAAGAAATTAATTTGAAAAAAACATAATTACCGAAAATTCATTTAATAAGGAAATTTAGAGATTTTTAAATATTACCTGGAGATTTTTTAACATAAATATCATTACAAATTAAATATAAATCAATAAGTTAATTAATTAACTTTTGAGATTATCTTGGAGGCCTTTTCTTCCATTTTGTGAACCATTTTTTGTTTAACATTTAATTCAAAGGGAAACAGAGTTAAATCGAGTTTAAAATTTTATTTAAGTGTTTTATTTCGATTTGCAGCAAAGATATGAGCGGAACCCGATGGACCTGGTCAGAACGATGCAGTACTGCTTGCGACTGGAGATGCAACTCGTTCAGCAAACCGAGCAGGTAAGGGGATCAACATGTACGGGAAAAATCTAATACTTTATAAGTGTGATGAATAAAATAATAAATAAAATAAAATAATAAATAAAATAAAATAATAAATAAAATAAAATAATAAATAAAATAAAATAATAAATAAAATAA